CTTTACAAAATTTAATATAGTCTTGGCAGCACCTCACGTTGCTGGGCAACGTGTTAAATAAACTTGCAGTCTGGTCCTGTAGAGTATTATTAATTAAAGATCTCTCTAACTGAATGCTGTTACTAGATCTTAAGCATCTGTTAATAATGTTAATATTATACATGCGTGGATATCAAAGTTAGGAGCGTCACGTTTGCTTTTTCAACTTCCAGGCGATGGGCACTGGGCAGGTGGTATGGGGCGTACGATCGCGGTGCATTATTCTGACACATCTCCACTGATATGGCGGCCTTCCACATCGTTGGGCAACGTTTTAAGAAGGTTATCGACAACGATATGCAGTGTGATTAAGGGTCAACACCTGTCTATTGTACCGTTCTTTTGTCTCAAATTCTGTTGCCTAAGGTGGGATCACTGTTGTCTAAGGTGGGATCAATGTTTATCTAAAAAAAACAATTGGCAGGAAGCGAACCAGTTGGCTAATAACAAACATGACCGAGGAGTTGAACTCAGGCCTATCGTGAAACAACTCAAGTGCGGCTCCGTAACCACTCGGCCACGCTGCCGGCTGCCTCATAACTGAATTAATAATGGTAATAGAACTGAGTGGAGTCCAATTCGGTCCGTAATCATACGAGTGATTAACAAAATCACCAGTTAATCACCAGTATGACGGAATTGGACGACGCGAAGCCCTGTTACCAATTAATCAAAACTATAACAAAACTCTCGTGCGTGATTGGCTATCAGCAGCCCGATTTGAGCATTAATTGGACAGTGTATACGCGTCATGCTTGTAACTGGACAGTACGCGTCATTTTGCGCGCGCTGTTGCGGTGCACTTTGTTGAGTAAACTGTGTTTTCCAGCATTCATAACGTTTAATCGTTCAGCGATCAATCGGAGGTTTGTTCGTTTCTCGAATTTTGTCATAGTTTTGATTAATTGGTAACAGGACATCGTGTCGTCCAATTCAGTCTGTAATCATACTCGTGATTAACAAATCGGACTCTCGCTTCGCGGTCGTCCGATTTTGTTAATCACTCGTATGATTACACACAGAATTGGACTCCACTCAGCCCTATTACCATTATTAATCAAAACTGTAACAAAATTCTCGAACGTGATTGGCTATCAGCAGCCCGATTTGAGCATTAATTGGACAGTGTACGCGTCATGCTTGTAATTGGACAGTACGCGTCATTTTGCGCGTGCTGTTGGGTGCACCTTGTCGAGTAAACTGCTGTGTTTTTCAGCATTCATAACGACGTTTAATCGTTCAGCGATCAATCGATGGTTTGTTCGTTTCTCGAATTTTGTCATAGTTTTGATTAATTGGTAACAGGACATCGTGTTCTGAACATTTTAAAGTATAATTAGTGCTTCTGATAGGTCACGTGACGTGTCACGTGACATTTAGCGTAGCCTTCATTGGAGGAATCGGTGGCGGTTTTTAGTAATATCATCCAACAAAAACGTGTTTTAGGGGCAAGTCAATTATTTCCACTCTCTCAGGTCTGAAATGACCGTCCCTCTTTTCGCAGAAACATTTTAAGCATGTTGAACTGAATGATTCAACAAACCCAAGCATAATTTGCTGCAATGAAGGTTTCATATAACTCTAATATCATTTAACGTTAACAAAACAAAGCCTAAATCCACGCTGTAATCCTGCTCCATAAACTTAAAAAGACTTTTTAATACTAAAATAGTATAGAGCACCCTTGTAATTTTTTTTACTCAGTGTTTCTGTCAATCTTCACCAAATAAAAACACTAAACTTCTCTTCATAATTAATTCTCAAGTCAGGCTAAAAAGGATTACGGTCTCGTTTAACCGTGGTGGTAGGGAGGGAGGAGAGACTCCCATTTGAAACGGACGGAATGTTCGTCGTCTCTCTTAGGGGAACAACTAACCAACTTAGTCCCTCTTAGGACGTTGAGGACGAAAACCCAAACATTTTCCTGTCAAGGTATCTTTTAGGGTTGCGCGCTTATTTTGCTTATTTTGTGATCTTGTCATCAAAACGTAACCATCGTAATGTCTTTGCAATCATTAAAATCATGGCAGCTTTTACGTTTTGGTTGTTTGAAGTGGCATCTCAAAGCACTCCCTGATTGGACTTAATTTTAAAATTTCCAACATATGGGAGTGCCCTGCCTACCAACCAGGCTCATTTACCAGGACAAATTTTCACCACGACTGACATAGTTTGACAGAATCTCTATGATTAAACAAACCTCTCTGTTGCGTGAAATTTATCACACTAACATAAGCTATACACTGAAGTATGGTTTTCAAATAACCTTGATTCTAGATTTATCAGCATGCTTAACTTTAAAACAGAATCGTTTCAATAGCACCAACGGTTTTACTATAGCAGGACATCACCAGTTTACTCTTTTTTCGCATTCCATGATTGTACATACGATAAAGAGTTCCAAAAGAGTCGTGGCATAATTCACCGTACATCCAACAGGTGAATTTCTCCTGATCTTCTACAGAAAGCTCCTTACACACGTGTCTCTTCAATCCACTGGTTAAAGCTCTTCCTACACTGGCTAACCAGGTAAATCACTGTGAAATGATCTATTATGAGACGAAAGACTTTCCTTGCGAGTAAAGTACTTCTCACAATGGATACACTTGAAGGGTTTCTCGCCACTGTGAATTCTCACGTGACTATTCAAATGTCCCGCAGCTCTAAAGCTCTTGTCACATTGAGTACATTTGAAGGGTTTCTCGCCACTGTGAATTCGCAAGTGAGTATTCAAATTTCCAGTTGTTCTAAAGCACTTGTCGCATTGAGTACATTTGAAGGGTTTCACACCACTGTGTATCATCATGTGACGCTGCAAATCAGCTGAATGACTGAAACACCTGTCACATTGAGTGCAACTGAAGGGTTTCTCACCACTGTGTATCATCATGTGACGTCGAAGATAGGCTAACTGGCCAAAACATCTGTCACACTGAGTACACTTGAAGGGTTTCTCACCACTGTGAATTCGCACATGAGTATTCATATTTCCCACAGTACTAAAGCTTTTGTCACATTGAGTACATTTGAAGGGTTTCTCACCACTGTGAATTCTTAGATGAGATTTCAAATTACTTGCCTGGTAGAAACACTTCCCACACTGAGTGCATTTAAACAGTTTCTTTTGGGTACCATTGTGTATCATCATGTGGCGTTGCAAATTGGTTGACCGATTAAAACACTTGTCACATTGAGTACATTTAAAGGGTTTCTCACCACTGTGAGTTCTTAGGTGACATTTCAAATTACTTGCCTGGTAGAAATACTTCCCACATTGAGGGCATTTAAACAGTTTCTTATGGGTACCACTGACAGTGAGTCTTTGAGTGTGAATATAAACCTGTTGATTGCTTAAAGCATTTATCACACTGAGTACATTTGTATGGTCGCTCATTAGTGTGAATTTTTAGATGATGAAGCAATCTTCCTGCCCACTTAAAACTTTTGGCGCAGTGAACACATTTGTAAGGTTTTTCACCACTGTGAATGCTGCCATTACGTAAACTTGTCATGTGCACATTTGTTCTTGTCCTGAAAACCTTTTCAACACAAAAAACATCATAACATACTGTTACAGCAAAATATTTAACTATAACAGAACTAAGAGTTATTTCTTAGCAAAGAGAATTGTTTGAATGCAACCACAGCTTAGGATTTACAAGTCATGTTTAAGAATCCTCTTCAAATTAGTGTAGAGTAGTGTAGATCCTTAATTACTTGATCCTTCATACACAACTCATTTATTCTATGACTAAGAAAATTAGGAACCTGTCCAACAAGTGGAGTTCAAATTAAGAATGAATGATAAATTTACCTGCTCTCAGTAATAATATTGAAGTAATTTTCTCAGTCATGTAATGAGTTAGGCTTTTTGTTGTTTGTACTGTAAGCTAAAGGTCACACTAATGAATGTATGAATCACCAATTTCTGCTGTTTGAACCAGATATAGCAGATCATTTCTGTCAGTCTAGGTGTCAGACCTCTTATCTTAAGATGACTGTATCCTATATTTTCATATATCAGGAATCTCTGGGATAATTTTAAATGATAACTCAGAAAAATGGAGGTGTGGTGAAGGTGTGGAGTTGAATGCAGGAAATAAAGGCAAGGTGGCTTAATGGCTTGTACATTGGACTCTGTAATGAGTGATCTGGGTTCAAGCCCTGGCTGGTGTAATAGTGATTTTTTCAAGGACAAGGTGTATTTATATCACAGCGCTTCTGCCCATCCAGGTGTATAAATGAGTAGCACTAAATTTCAAGGCGTGACCCGGTGATGGACTAGCATCACAACCAGGAGAGAGTAGAAATACTCCTTGTTGCTTCATATCATGGAAAAGTGGAAAAGGTCCCAGCAGTATTGAGTGCTTGGCCCTATATAGACTTTACATTCCCACAGGGAATTAGGAACCTCTTTCAACTGATCACCAACAGGGTAGAGTGGGAGAAGGAACAAAGCTGGATGCAATAAACAAATTGTACTCATGTTCAATGAAAACAAGCCATTGAAAATAAATCCTGCTGCTATAATCCGCGATAATTGAAGATTGAATTTAATGCGGAAGCCCCGGCGCCATGTGTATCAGTTCCTAATTTTCAAGATGGCGGGGCATTACATTATTATCCTCTGATTGATCGAAGGTAATGTTTGCTTCTCATTCAACATCAGAAACCACAGTAAATTAAATTCAAAGGGATGTTTTCATCAAGGATATAAGCTAAAAGGACAGCGATTACAATCTTAATTTCACGGTACTGAAACAAATCTGTCGAAATCACCTGAAAATCACACGACAGCCAAGCGAGATTCCACGATTGAATTAAGCTAACTAGTGAACAGTCACGGGGAATATAAATCGTAAAACAGTTCTTTAGTATTATGGTTATCAGTTTAAAGTGCTACAAATACTTGATGCCTACCTTCTTGGCAGGAAAAGAAGGAAATATGACACACAACAATTCAAACCCTCAAGCAAACAAACACAGAACATAATTATCACGTGACTCTAGAGTTTTCGAACCTACCAAGTGGGGATGGGTAGTGCGCTTTTTCCAGTCTCTCTGGGTGTCAGTCCCGGCCATTGATCAGTTCGAATCGATTCAAGAAACATCCAAATCGAAAGGGAAGCTGGCAAAGGCAAGCTATCAAGTTTATTGTAGAGGGAAACACCAGTGGAAAACACTGAATCAGGATGAGAAATTGGTGATATCGGTGTTTTGGGAAGGTTCGATTTCGCAACCTTCCCTTTCTTATATTTCTTATATTTCTTATCCTGATTCAATGTTATCCAGTGGTGTTTTCCCTTCAACAAACTTGGTAGCTTGACTTAGCCAGCTTCTCTTTTGATTTGGATGTTTCATGATTCTAACTGAGCGATGATGGGGGCTGAAACCCAGAGGGACTGGAGAAGTGAACTACCCTTCCCCTCTTGGTAGGGTCCGAATACTCAAGCGTCACGTGATCACTTTGTTCCACGCTCTGTCAGCTTCTGTTTTTGTTTGTGATTGAAGTGTGGTCCCGGTGTCAAATTCTCCTCTTTTCCTGCCAAGAGGGTAAGCATCAAATATCCGTAACACTTTAAACCAATAACCATAATACTAAAGAACTGTTTGAAGGTTTATATCCCCCCTGACTGTTTACTAGTAAGCTTAATTCAATTATGGAATCCGGCTCGGCTGCCGTGTGATATTTAGCATGTCTGTTCGGGCGATTTGTTTCAATTCAGTGAAGTTAAGAATTTAATCGCCGTCTTTATAGCTTATATATCCCTGATGAGAACATGCCTTTGAATTAGATGTATTGTGGTTTCTGATGTTGAATGAGAAGCAAACATTTCCTTTGAGCACTCAGAGGATAATAATGTAATGCCCGGCCATCTTGAAAAGGAGGAACTGGAACGGATGCGTCCGCGGCTTCCGGATTAAATTTAACCTTCAAAGATCATGGATTATAGCAGCAGGTTTTATTCTCAATGGCATATTTTCATTCAGTTGAGCATGAGTACAACCTCTGAATTCAATCCAGCTATGTTCCCAGTCCCACTCCACCCTGTTACAGATCAGTTGAATAGAGTTTCCTAATTTCCTGAGAAAAACTTAAATCTGTGTTGGGTCAAGTTGTCCACACCTCTGGAGCTTATCCCACCTTTCTGCACATTGAAGTGACAAGGAGTATTTTCACCCTTCCTTGGATGGGATGCTAGTTCATCTGGTTGTACCTCCCCCCAGCAATAATTTCTCCAGTACCCATTTATACATGCCAATTACCTAACTACTCATAACAATAATTACACTTTCCTCAAAATTATGCGATTGTTGGGTTCACTGCTGTATTTTGCACTAATAGACCTTATCACAGTTTTCGACGCAATCCTGATGGGTAGGCAAAGGTGAATTCTTAATTGCACACACAATTACCCAGTACTGTATACAAATGAATAACTCTTAGTTCTGTAATAGTTTAAAATTTGACTAGAACATTGTATTTCATTTCAGTGTTGAAACTGAGGTTTTGAACAGATGTGAACATGGCAAGTATATGTTATGGCATCATTCACAGTGGTGAAAAACCTTACAAATGTGTTCACTGCGAAAAACGTTTTAAAACGGTAGGAGATCTACAAGGTCACTTTAGAATTCACAGTGATGAAAGACCCTACAACTGTACTCAATGTGACAAAAGTTTTAATACTAGAAAGAAACTGAATAATCATGTGCGAATTCACAGTGACGAAAGACCCTTCAAATGTACTCAGTGTGGAAAATGCTTTAAGCAACCAGCAGGTTTATATGCACACTTAAAGACTCACAATGGCGAGAAACCCTTCAACTGTACTCAATGCGACAAATGCTTTAGTACTGCGGCAAATTTAAAGCATCACTTGCAGCGAATTCACAGTGGCCAGAAACCCTTCAAATGTACTCAATGTGACAAAAGCTTTGGTTATGTGGGAAGTTTGAATGCTCACGTGCGAATTCACGGTAGTGAGAGACCCTTCGAATGTACTCAATGTGACAAAAGCTTTATCACGGCGACACATTTGAATACTCACATGCGAAGTCACAGTGGAGAGAAACCCTTCAAATGTACCCAATGTGACAAAAGCTTTAGTACTGTGGGAAGTTTGAATACTCACATGCGAATTCACAGTGGTGCAAAACCCTACAAATGTACTCGATGTGACAGATCTTTTAGTCAGGCAGGTAATTTGCAATATCACATGATGGTACACAGTGGTGTGAAACCCTTCAAATGTAATCAGTGTGACAAGAGCTTTAGAACTGTGGGACATTTGAATACTCACGTGCGAAGTCACAGTGTCGAGAAATCCTTCAAGTGTACTCAGTGTGACAAAAGCTTTAGTACTGTGGGAAGTTTGAATAGACACCTGCAAATTCACAGTGGCGAGAAACCCTTCGAGTGTACTCAATGTGACAGGTGTTTTAATCAGTCAGGCAATTTGCAACAGCACATGATGGTACACAGTGGTGAGAAGCCCTTCAAATGTACTCTATGTGACAACAGCTTTAGGACTTTGGAGAATTTGAATACTCACGTTCGATTTCAGAGTTGTGAGAAACCCTTCAAATGTACTCAGTGTGAGAAAAGCTTTAGTACTGTGGGAAGTTTGAATAGACACCTGAAAATTCACAGTGGCTTGAAACCCTTCAAATGTGCTCAATGTGACAGATGTTTTAGGCAGTCAGGCCATTTGCAACGTCACATGATGATACACAGTGGAGAGAAACCCTTCAAATGTACTCAATGTGACAAAAGCTTTAGAAGGCCGGCACATTTGAATGCTCACGTTCGCATTCACAGTGGTGTGAAACCCTTCGAATGTTCTCAATGCGACAAAAGCTTTAGGACTTTGGGGAATCTTAATTCTCACGTTCGGTTTCACAGTAGCCTGCGAACACCCTCCCGGTGAGCCCGAACGAAGCTGTCCCCGCCCCGACCGCTTCGCTCGCCGAATTCTTCTGTTTTGCGCGCGCCGAAATTTTTTTCCGTCCTCGCCGGGAGCCTGTTCGTAGGCTAGTTTCACAGTGGTGAGAAACCCTTCAAATGTACTCCACGTTAGGGAGATCATGTTACAAAAACTCGGAAGAAAAGTCTTCTGTCTCATTATAAATCATTTCACAGTGATTTGCATGGTTAGGCAATGTGGCAAAGTTTTCAAAGATGACAGAGGTTTGAAGAGACTCACGTCTACAGAGCTTTCCTTGGAAGATCGGGAGAAATTCGCTTTTTGGACGTTCGGTGAACTTTGTGACAACTGTTGCGGAATTCTTCATCATATGTACACATATAAATTTCGAAAAGAATAAACTGGTGGCGTCCTGCTGTGGTTAAACCGTTGGTGGGTTGGTATTGAGAATTTTCAGACGCAAAAAGGAACGGTTGATGCAAAATGTGGGAGAGGCAATTCGTGCGCTAGCTGTTAGGCTCAATTTCCAGCGGTGGATGTTTCGGTGCGCCCGTGATCCTCATGTCCCGCGACTGGAAACAGGCGCTTGCACAACCTCGTTCCCAGGTTCTCTCTCCTTTGCTCCTTGTTGTTGGGAGAAAGACCCCGGTTGCGGCTGGTCACGTGACCGCCTGTGACACAAACTTTTCCTCCGGGGAAGAGTCAACGAATAAATTTTGTTGATCAGAAAGGCGATTGTTGGTCATCGCTATATTAACCATACGGGCAAATACACCTTTGAAATTCTACGGTCTTATTCTAAGCTAAGGTAAAACGAAATATATTTATATATATCCAGCTTATTGAAGTATCACTTTGATTTAAATTCCAGCCGGTCGATGTACTATTAGAGATGTAAAACTGTTTCGCTGTTTTATGTTGCCTGAATGAACCTCGACCACTCTGCCAAATATGATAAATCCTTGGCTTTAAGGAACCGTGTTTCAACATCTGTCTGAATATGAACTTACATAAACCTGATGCAGATGAAATATAAGTGCGGGCTTATACATGTTAACAAAACTGTAAATCATTTTGAACTGCTGTAAATCAAATGCAAGTCAATACTCGGCTAATCGGCCGTGTGACAAAGTAACGCACAAAGAAGAAAATAAATTAACTCCGAAATCAAAGATTCAAGAAACTGATCCACAGGTTTCACCTCGATTCGGTTCGTGACATGTTACATGTGCTAACCGTCAAAATTTTTTTGCTCCAATTTCTTTGTGAACGAAAATTTGTATTTTGGAGAGGGCAGAAATAATGTAGCATACTCGACTTCGATCCCGATGGAGCGGGCACTCCTCCCCTTCTCGCTCAACATATGTTTTGACTACCCAGATTCTGGGTGGTCACGTGATCAGCTGCAACCATGGTCTTTCCCAACGGCAAGGGAGGCAGAGGAGAGAGAGCCTGGAAACGAGGTTACCGTTTACGCTGTATGCTTATTTGTGAGGATATCTCCAAAGTTATCAAAAGCATGTGGACACTTTTCTCACTTGGCTTCGATTGATTTACAGCGCGGTCTTCAAAAACCTCTATTTAGACTTTTACACAATGCAAAGCTGATGCCATTGCAGTAATTAGCTATCACGTATTTTAGTTTCAATTTCACTGTTGTATTTCATGTAGAAGCAGCGATGTCTACAGAGTTAGATTTTGTTTCGGAGAAGAAGGCTTCCCTGTATACGATATGCAGATAAACATATTAGCATGGTGGTATGATGACAAGTTTATTGGCAAAAGCTTAGAAACAATAAACTAACGGAACAAGGTAGAACATTTTATATCGATAAAAACATATGCTATAATATAACGTTAATTATGTCGAGGTAATAAAGCTCCCTTTTCTTTTAAGTAAACGATCCCAGTCTGTCCTGCGCGTGTCTGTTCTTCGGGAGACCGACCCTGGAAAAACTGTTCAGCTGAAAGGCTGTTGTTCAAGAACATTAACAGCCTAGTGAATTGAAACACTGCTTTCCTCAGTCAGCTTAGAAGCGCATAAAGAACAGCTTCATTTTTTCACTCGTGATTACGCTACACACATGGCTTGACTGTCTCGTTCCTAGGCGTCCTGGTTCCCAGGCCTTTAAGCGCAGTACCCATGAAGCACCGCAGTTCTTGTTTCCCGCCTTTCACCGTCAAAATACAACAGCGCCAAGAGAGGAGACAGGGCTTCATTTGTCTAGTTGCCGACAAGTTTAGTTTTGAAACACTTTGGCTCTTGCTAATGCTCGCGCAACACCCTAAGTATCAAGTATGTTTCTCTGGTAATTGAGCGCAAAACGGGAATAGATTTTACTTTTTTTTCTGAAGTGGTCCCTGAATAGTATCGATTCAGGGATGGGGTGGGGTTCTCTCTCATATTGCGAATATGGGGACGTGCCGCGAGGAGAGGGTATCATGTTTTAGTCTCACAGCCCTAAACAAGGTATATAATTCCTTTAAGACTGCCCTAAAAAGGGCCTGAACCTGTCTTAGCCAGGGTATGGCTGCATGATTCCTTTTTATACAGTACTCGGCAATCTGGTATCGGAGATTTCTGCCCATATTTGGCAGATCAGCACGGCTACATCATATATCTTTTAGAACAGGTCAATAATTGTATGGTTGCTAGTATGCTCCAAATCTCTCTACGTTCTCCGGTCCTTTGTCTCAAACAACGTTCTAGAATAAAGTTGGTTCAGTATTCTGCATGGGCAACGTTTTCTTTGTCTTTTACAGGGTCATGGTCTCAAACCTCTGGCTGCGCCCCGGCCCAGTGTATACCCAGTCATAGACGAAGTACAGCCCCTTAACAAAAAGCAGTCGTAATCAATAGCTGATCGCTGACAGTTTCAGGAACAAAGAAATTATTACTGCAACGCAAATTGTGAAACTAGCTTTTCAGTAAAGGTTTGCCTACCAAACGTGCTTCAAAATAGCGGTGCGGTACCAAGGTCTCGCCAGTTGAAAGAGAAGTCGTCACTAGAATGGGAACGAAGCTAAGGACAGTGAATGGGAACGTTTACCAAAATTTAAGATCGAGCGTACATGGATGTCATCTTTAAGAAGGTTTAGTTTTGACATTATTTTGAGCTGTTTGGTGTGTTAAACCCGACGTGTTCAATCGATAAAAATCTATATCGAAGAACCGCTCGATAAATCGATAACGATCGATAATTCTTGATTCTTGATTATCGATCAATTGATACAGAAATCGATACTCACAGCCATCCGGCGTTTTTTTCATGATATCAGAACAGGGGCATACTAGCAACCATACAATTATCGCTTCATCGATCTTATCGCTCTCAGTTTGGACAGTCTCTAAATACAACACACTACTTCTTCGGAGGCAGCGTTTCAAGAACTAGTTGTGTTTAGCCAAAGCTTAGCCTATCATATATTGTTGTTCGCTTTTCGTGTACTTTAGTGTAAAGCTTGTCGGAAGATATTGAGTTACCCTTGGGCCCTGGTCAAGGATACACTAGCTCATAGCCTGGAGTTGTAGTTAACGTAAATAACAAGATAATCAGAGTCAAACAAATGAGTTTCAAAAATATATTTTAACACTCTGGACAAGAATTCATCAGTTCCCTTGAGGCACTATGATCCGACTTAGTGATCTCGGATTACTGATCCTGGGCCCCGTTTCTCGAAAGCCGCGGAAACTTTTCCGGCCCGCAAAGCCAAAGCAAAATCTCGAACTTTACGGTTACTAAGCTATTTTATTCACATATTCTCAATATGAAGAGAAGTTCCCTTCATACAAGAAGTTTCAGGCGTATACACTTTTCGTTTTTCAGATACAGACGGACTAAAAATGGCTTTCCGGGGCTTTCGAGAAACGGGCCCCTGTTCCGGATCATCAATTTTCTCTTGACTGTAAAGGACCCATTCTTAGCCCCTCCCACGGGGAGGGAGGGGCGGGAACTCCCGTATATTAAAGACCGATTCAGTATTTTCCAGTTGTGCGTTCCCTTCAATAAATAAACTTGGTAGCTTGACTTCGCCTGCTTCTCTTTTGGAAATTTAACTTCTTGATTCAAAAGGACCAAGTGAGACTGGAAGAGCGCACTGCCGATCCCCTGTTGGTAGGGTTCGAACACTCAAGCGTCACGTGGTTACAATGGTCTGCTGCTGTTCGGTTCTGTTCGCTAGTTCGAGGCTTCAGCTGTGTTCTGTGTCAAATTTTCTTCTTTTCCTGCCAAGGAGGTAAGCATCAAATTTCCGTAGCACTTTAAACTGATAACCATAATACTTAAGAAACGTTTTACGGCTATATCCCCTTGGTTGTTTGCTAGTAAGCTTAATTCAATGATGGAATCTCGCTCGGCTCTCGTGTGATTTCTGTGATTGTCGCGTGATATCTGTTCGAGCGATTTGGTTCAGCGCAGTGCAGTTGAGAATTTAATCGCTATCTTTAAAGCTTATATCCCTGGTGAGGACATGCCTTTGAATTAGATTTATTGTGGTTTTTGATGTTGAATGAGAAGCAAACATTACCTTCGATCACTCAGAGGATAATAAAGTAATGCCCCGCCATTTTGAAAATTCGGAACTGGAACATATGGGGCTTCCGGATTAAATTTAATCTTCAGTTATCGCGGTTTATAGCAGCAGGTTTTGTTCTCAATGGCGTGTTTCCATTTAGTTGAGCATGAATACAACTACTGAATTCAACCCATTCTCGTTCCCATAGCCCTTTTCGCTTCTCTTAGCTGGCGTGGCCTTAGCGCAGGAAACAAAAGGCTCTGGAGACAAAGGATCCCCCAGTCCCAGATTCAAGGACTTCAGGTCTTCATTTAAGTAATCGTTATGTTTCTATATACTGTATGGGATTGTCAATGGCAGCCGTCGAGGCAGGATTCAAGAAATCTTTGTTTCAGATCTCAAGTGGTACCAATTTGGAGAATGTTTCCGTCAGTGTAGAACAGAAAGAGGCGATATGGAACATTGTGATTTTCAAGAGAGACACTCTAATTTTTTTTGACTGACAGTCATTGATTTTTCAGTTATTGCCCTTTGTTTGCAAAGATCTCCTTTTTCTGCGTGGTCCTAATCTGGTGCAAAAATGTTTGTATTTAGTAGGCACCGTCCTTAATATCCTTTCAAATTGCACAGGTCCTGAAGTTGATTACCAGTCTGTATTGCACACTCTCAGCACCCCAATGTTTGTGAGTTTGTGATCATAAACATGCAACACTGTCAAAATCAAACTGCTTTGTTAGTTTTTAATTCTTAGTGAGCAGGACCCCATTGATAACAGTACTTTGTACTGAGGGGTTATCCTGGGGAAATATTTGATTATTATTATTATCATCATTATTATTATTATTATTGTTATTATTATTATTATTATTATTATTATTATTTTCCTCCTCCTCCTCACTGGACAGAGTCGATGTTATTTGTTACGAACCACTTACCTTATCCCCGAGGCATTTTAAATTCTTTTTAAAACAGTTTCTTTGATTTTTACAGCTATGAAGTTGTTTCATTTACTTATATCAGAAAGAATGAAGCATAAAGCTTTGAATCCATAATGGCAGTTGACGCTTTGAATTTCCTTTACAATGTATGTAAGTAGTTGCAAAATGTTACATTTTGTGACGTCTTAAATGACTAGTAAACAAAAAATGTATTCAAACTCTTGAGAGTGTGCACTACAGACTGGAAATCATCTTTAAGGCTCTTGCAATTTTGAGATAATTTTTAAATATAACTTTTAGTGTAAATTCTTAATTGCACTGTCTCGCAATTACCTAGATACAAATAAACAACTCTTAGTTCTGTAATAGTTAAAAATTTGAGTATAGCATTATATTCCATTTCAGTGTTGAAACTGAGGTTTTGAACAGATGTGAACATGGCAAGTATATGTAATGGCAGCATTCACAACAGTGAAAAACCTTACTAATGTGTCCAGTGCAAAAAACATTTTGAAACGGCAGGAGATCTGCAAGGTCACCATAGAATTCACAATGATGAAAGACCTTACAAATGTACTCAATGTGACAAAAGCTTTAGTACCTTGGGATGTTTGAATACTCACATGCAAATTCACAGTGGTGGGAGACCCTTGAAGTGTACCCAATGTGACAGGTGCTTTAGTCATTCAGGGAGTTTAAGACGTCGCATGATGATGCACAGTGGTGACAAACCCTTCAAATGTACTTAATGAAAGCTTTAGAACTGCATGGAATTTGAGTACTGACATGGGGATTCACAGTTGCAAGAAACCCTTCAAATGTACCTGGTGTGAAAGGGGTTCGTGAATTCTAAATGGAAGCCTCTTGTATTGCAATAAGTCATTTCACAGTGTTTTGCCTGGTTAGCCAATGTAGCAAAGGCTTTAAAGATGCCAGTGGATTGAAGAGACACATGTGTTAGGAGCTTTTCTTAGAAGATCGGGAGAAATTCACCTGCTGGATGTGAAGTGATGTTTCTCACTACTGTTGTGGAATTCTTTATCATATGTACAAACATGGTATTAAGGATTCTCAGCTTGAAAAGAAACAATTCAGGTTTGAAGTGAAGTGTGTCTGACAAAACAAGAGCCTAGTTTATATGAAGAACATGTACTTTAGAGGTAAATATTACATGAAGGTTAAGTTTTTTTAATCACAGGAAATGTGTCAAACTTTTTCAGCTTAGTGAAAACTTGACCAACACAAAGTACACTACTAAGTGAATGAGCCTGTTAAGAGCCAGTGGGGGGTTCGCTTATAAAAAAAGGGGGTGCTCGTCAGAAATTTTATTGAAGAACCCCTAAGAGGTACCAAGATCTTGTTTTGTGGGTGCGGCTTGAATTTTTTACCCCTCAGAGGAACAATTCATAGACAACACATTAACTGACACTTTCATTCTTTTTGGTAGTGATAAAGATGATTGCTTTGAATTCCTTCAACTTATAAAGTTGATTATCAAATATCTGTCGTACTTTTTTTTGGCTCAGCACTCTAAGAGGTACCGCAAAAGCTCTCACTGTGGACTTTTCGTTGCTTAACACTCTAAAAGGTAGCAAAATTGCTTTTTTAAACCACTAAAAGTTATGACTAGCACCCTGTCCTTTTTACTCGGGAGTTCCTCCCCTGGAGTGAGAAGGGGGTGGGGCACCCCTATACAGATAGCTGTATAGGGGTGAGACAAGACAAGACTGAAAGTTAGTATGGGTAAAAGTAGAGACTTTGCTGTATGTGCTGAACACTCATTGGATTCAACATGACAAACATTTTCTTTTCTTTCAGACCTGTGGAAACAAAGTTTTTTTGCCACCCCGAATGTAAGAGGAAATTTCAGTTAAAAGTCATGTAACAGTGAAAGAAAAGCCTCTTGACTATGAGAGAAAAATCTAATGTATATTTCCTTGCCAATACTCCACATGTAAAAAATACAAATTTGTAGATTTCCTCTGGAATGACATGCAAAATTCCACTGAATAGCCAGACCACCATACAGTCTTGTTGCATGGGCCTGTCGATTTATTGTTAATCTAACAACCTTAACTGAAACAGCTGTATGTCTGAAATTTTAAATCAAACTTCTGCAAGAGTGTCAAACCCAGGCATGGCGTGAGCTTTAGTTGACCTAAAACAGATACCACGTTAAGGTGGCTCGATACACTTTCCAGCACTTTCCAAGACAAAGATTTTAATGGGTCATTATAACCATTCTATATCAGTTGATGCCAAATCATGGTATCAAAAACCTGCCCAATCATTGATAAACATGTTGCTGTCAATTTTGGGGCAAAATAGGTTACCATAGCAACAATATTACCCTCTAAAAGCATCCTTAAATTTAGCCTTAAGTACTTGTAACTCAAAAATGAGCTCGGTGACCCCCATTATTTTATTGCTTAGTTGTGATAAGCATAATAAGATGCAACTTTTTGTAGTTTAAGAAAATTCTATAAAGTGGGTTCAGAGCCACCTTAAATTTTCAAAAATTTAATAATAAAAAATGGGAGTTGCCTCGCTTGTTTTTGAATTATAAGTGCTTAAAGCTAAAATTAAGGATTTTTAGCATGTCATAGTGTTGCTATGGTAACCTGGTATATAAAAGGGATGATCGCAACTTGTTTACCAATGATTGGGAATTTGTATGATACGATTATTGTAGCATCACTTGTTAAACAGTGGTAGTATTCATCCTTTAAAGGCTTGCTGTTAGAAAAGTGCTGGAAACTGATGACAGCCTCCTTAAACAGATATGATTCTAATGATGGCAAAGACAAAACGGTTAAGTTTTGATCACATTAAAACTGATTTCCTCTCTGTATGTTTTTTGCATAAATGGCATGGATATTTGAATAACAATCTTATGTATTTTCATATTCATGTGACACACCTTACATAAATACATGTACATGGCCAAGGATGTACAATGTATTGTTATTCAAATTCTGGCGCTATTTTAGCCTCCTTTGTAGACATTCTTTGGGCTCGTCACGCAATCAGGGAGATTGCGTGACAAGCCCAAAGAGCGTCTGCGCAGGAGGCTAGCGCCATTTTATGCAAAGGGTTTATTTGACTAAGTAATTAACCAAAAAATCAGCATGATAGCGTCTTTTTGTCCTTATATTTTTCGTGAAACTCAAACTGAAGATAGCTTGACGGTTAAAATGTTAGGAGTTCGTCCTGAACACCTTAAGTGAGAAAAAAGTTCGTGAGTTGCACCCCTAAGCGAGACGACGAACCTCCCGTTCGGAGTCCCTCCGCTCCCTCCGNCCCCCCCCCTCCCCATCCCGTTTACATGAGACCATGATCCTTTGTAGCCTGGCTTGAAGGCTAGTTTTGAGGAGAGTCCTTTCTATAAAAAACGAGAAAACGAACTTGACTCTGTATTTCTTTATATGATATCTTGGCATTTAGCGTTTTTATTTGGTGGAGATTGACACAAAACATTCAGTAAAAACAATCACAAGTATGTTCAGATATTGTTCCGGGATATTTTTCTGTGAAAGTTTTGTTACGAGTGTTTTGATCGCGGTATATTTAACTCCAAACTTGCTAAATAAAACAGGAACAATGAGCTTTCATTGAAGAGTAACTGTCGGCATTGCTGATACGATAGCTTGCGTTACTTTTTCGAACTCTTTGATTCCACTTTGCTGTATCTTTGCGCCTTTGCACGTAAATAAATAAATAAATAAATAAATAAATAAATAAATAAATAAATAAAGTTTCTTTAAAATAAGGGAAATTGTATTTTGTCTCTTGTCCTAAACAGGGTTAGAAAATAAAGGTGGTTGTCCTAGACAGGGTAAAATGTTTAGAGCTTTTTTTTCCTAAACAGGGTCAGGATTTCAAACCCTCGGCGGTCCCTTGTACCCAAACAAAAGCCATACAAGACCGAACTTTGGGGCCCCCGTCGGTGGGTTCAAGTCCCGCTCACCGCGGGTTCAAGTCCCGCTCTGACCACTTAACTGGAGTTGTTTCTCGGTAAACCCTAGTTCAACTCCCCGGTCATGCTTGTAAATAGCCAACTGATCTGTCTCCCGCCAGTTGGGCTCTATTATGTTTATTTGAAACATTCCTTTCTTTCAGTTTAAGTGACATGCCTGAGAACTAGCTAGTGGTAATTAGGCGCGCCGACCACTATAAACATTTTTTGGTTTTAAGGACGCCATTTTTCCGGCTTCCTTCAAAGGACAGTATTGACTCGATTTCACGGTTCGTTGTCAGAAGAGTTTCGAGAGTTTCAACTTGAAAAACTCGCGTGCAAAAGCATGTTTCGATAACATCCGGCCACGCAAACTTCAAAACACAAACTAATTCTGCGTTTTTCGCCACGAACAATACATACTACATTTCCGATTGCTGTGTGTGAAAGCCTGAGACTTGCCCAATATCCCTTCCGTATACTTTCTATACTGGTATAGTTATGTTAATTCCCGTTTGAAAAGTGCGATATGTTTCGCTCGAAATTTCCTCAAGTTATATCCCCACTTTTGCGGGGCAGTCTTTTGAAATTTCAGTCATTATATAAAAGAAACACATTGTTATTGAATTCATACCATGAGAGAGTTGATTTCAATTGTGAAATACTCCCTTCGATTGAAAAGATTGGGATTTTAATCCAAACCGTTTTTGTTCCGCACCATTGAAACATTCAATTTATCTAAATCGCAACAATAGCAACGCCACGAAAACCCAAGATTTGTTGATGTTTTGTAAACTTCTCCGAATTAATACTGGAGTAAATGTATGATAGTCTGTTGAAGAGACAACTGAAGAGATTTCAAATTTTCAACATAGACCAAAAAGTCGATAGCATGTAGAAATAATGTTGTACTTTTCCCTCCAAAGGTCTTATCACCCATCTAGAACATTCACTTAAATTGTTTACGGGCCGATATTACCTCTACTAACACGGTTATTACTGTTTACTCTTATTTGTGAAGCTGGTTTCTACAGAAACTGCCCAACTTTGGCACGTAAGCGGAAATTCTCAAATAAGAACGTAGATCACCGCCATTGTCAAGAGGTTTTGCAGCCGCACGTTTTAAACGCCAGTTCCTTCTGGGAGATAATAGATCTTCTTACTCAAAGCTAAGGACATATCTTACTCTTGAAATCTCGTCTAGTTCGTACGCTTAAAAGTATCTCGTCAACTCGAAGTAGATAAAATCAAGTGTTGGTCAGTCATCGCTTTTAATGATATTTATCGGCATCGGATGTTGGGCGTGAATTTTGGCTATGAAACAATATATCATTCATCAAACACTGAGTTTAAGTAAGCAAATGAAAATTCATGAGAAATCAGTAAATTTCAATCTGATTTTTCCAAGAATTAAGACAGTATATTTGAAAATTTGGCTCTGATTTTTTTGTGGTTACTGGAGGCTGTTAATTATAGGGACGTTCAGTTAGGTAGTTGAGAGCTTAAGCAAACCACGAAGGCTACGGGAACGGAAACTTCACTAAACGAAAGGTTTAATGAGTCGAACAATAGCTGTGCACGTGCGTTATAAATCTTTGTACATGTCTTTGCCGTCCTCTGCAAAACAAAAACGTGAAACGGCTAAGTTCTGAGTATCTTGAAGTTTTCGTATTTTCATTTGGAATTGAACGCTGGCGTTACATAACTGACTGACTGAAGACGGCTTCTTAACATACTCAACCCAGTTTCCCTCGACTCTCAGATACTAAAAATCAGAGCGGCATGCGCAAGTTTTCAAGAATTCAGAGCCCTATCCGTTGGTCTATATCTTAGTTTTCACTGTGCATGAGATGTGTTCCCTAGGTGAGAGATATTTTCGTGCGCTATTTCAAACTTGCCTTGTTGCGAAAGGCCGATAAATTAATGATCCACTCGAAAGCGAGAGAAACATTCCGGGATGGAAATTACGCCCATGTTTTGTAAGCGGAACCTTGCAAAACAAAATCGAATAGGTTTTGTTACTTTTTCTATATTGCTCGTATAGCGCCTCGGCTCACAAGATGACGTATATGTTTCTTTTTTTTTTTTTCCCTTGTTGGTCAGGACGTCATACGACGTCATATGACGTTATTATGTCCACCATTTTGGATTTCACAATTTTCTCAGAAAGTCAGCAAAAACCGAATTGACGGGAACATTATCCAAAATGATAAAAGAGAGTCAAACGTTACCGGTTTTGCAATGTTGCTCTGAAAAACTGAAAAAAGAAACCATGAGAATCCTATCAAAGAAGGTTAAAATTTGGCTTGACCTGCATGTCAGAATGTGGTTATGTCGAATGACATGGAGATATACAGCTCAGGCGAGAGGTCAAAATCTCGGCGAATTTCAGCATTGAAGAGTAAATCCTCTTATCAAAATTCTGAAGCTCTGAAGGATGGCATACATCCCCAGTACGTCCAAGGGGTAATTCGCTGAGGCATTGCACGCTTGCTTCTCGCTTGAGATCTTATTAACATCACAGGCAAGTCTTGTCTGCTTTTCATTTCAATGGCTATGGCAAGATTTCTTCATGTTTTCCGCTTTTCAAGTTGGATGAATTCCACATACGTCTATCCGGATCAGGTTTAAATTACTTCACGTTTACGTTGATCTAAGACCCCGTCCACACTCGGGTCGGAGAAATTTTTAAACACAGCTTTATTTGCACGGTTAGGCCTATCGTCCACACTAATCCGTCACGAAAACTGAGCTTTTCGAAGCCAAACCGGAGGAATTTAAAAAGCCCTGCATTCCGCGAGTTGGTGTAGACGGAAAACATTTTAAAAACGGAGCTTTTCGAAAACGATGGCGTCACGAGAATTATGTGATTTCCCGGCATATCCGAGTTTTCCTCAACCGCAAATCTAAAATGACCGGTGACTGCTGCGTTTTCAAATTTCTCTGACGCATTGTGGACAGGAAACATTTGATACGTTTTCAGAGGTGAAACACCACTTTTAAATTTCTCCGGCGAAGTGCAGATGTGGAGGGGCCCGAAACGTGAATTTCAAGTCCAAATAAATCAACTATGACTGGTTTTAGCCTGTGTTCAGCCAGCCCCTCCCCTCAAAAAAATCGGGGAGGGGAGGGGGCAGCTGTACACAGACTTGACTGGTTTTCGTGCGCAAAATTTGCAAAATACGGAAAGAACGGTTTTTTGCCCGGTAGAACATGTGGAATTAACCAAAAGCCAAGAAACAAAAATAAAAACAGAACAAACTGTCGATAGCTCAACGCTGGTTTCCACTACATTAGCGCCAGTAATAAGAAATTGCCTAAACTGTATGCGCAGGCGCAGTAAGGTATTGTAAAGTGAAACCTTTTTCTCGGGAAATTTCTTGGCAACAGGTGATAATTACTGATCAACATCTCGCTGTGTCTACGTATCATCATGTGGCTTATGTTTATTCGCTGGTGAAATCCAGCCTTTTTAGATTTTATCTATTTTATTTTACAAACCGATAACTGAGGCGCAATTGAATACAGACCATCACCATATATACGTGAATGTCGCTAGAAAATTACTAGACATGGTGGAAATACAACTTTTCTCGAATCATTCTTAGGTTTCCCTGCCTTGTATGCACTATCGACCGTATTCAAACAAAAAAAGAAATTATAATAATACTAAAAAATTAAAAAAAAGAAAAAGAAAAAAAGAAAAAAGGAAACCGGACAGCAAAACTCTCAAACCGGCTCGGCACAGTAGTCGCTGGTTAATACGGCAGGCTGTAGTACGCTAGTTGCTTGATCATGAATTTTTCCAGTCGTTATTTTTCTTTTTTTCATCTGTACGTTGGTTACCCAACGAAAACCCAGCAAGAGAGAACTTTAAGTAAAGGCCAGTGAGTTTAAGTTCCACACGTGCGCCCCTGTCGTCTCTTTGAACGTTTGAAGAATTTGGAAAGCCAAGAGGAAAATGTCAAAGTAGTTGTCAAGAGTAAATGCAAATCAGTTGCAACATGCTTAGAAGCGAAATAGTGTTGTTAGCCTTTACTTACGGATGTGTCAAGAATACCATGTCCTATCGAATTTGTCTAACGCGTACATACCCTCTTATATTTTATCAGACACGACCAGTCTTTCTCAGTAATAATATTCACAGCTTTATTTGTAAATTGGTACTTTTTCAAGTTTTAGCGCTGTCGAATTTCACTTCCGCACTGTTTTTTTTTTTTTTTTTTTTTTCGGAGAAGAATTTAATCTGATTTTCGTTTAACGTTTCTCTCTAGCAGGACTACATAAGAGAATTCTGTAACAAAGTCCGCCCGTGTCCGAACGACTACAGAAGAGAGNTTTTTTTTTTTTTTTTTTTTGCGTGTGTGTGTGTGTTTTGTCTTCCTTTCTTTATAACGCAACTGCATATATTCGCGCGCGCAATATGGTTTATCGCAACGAAAATCTCGTATTTTTTTAAAAAATTTCTCGCGAAGCTAGAAGAGATCCGCCGGGTTAAATTAGATGAATTCGCGTACATCAGGAAAGACCTTACAGCACGCGTGCAGAATGTAACCGAAAAAAAAGACCGGTTTTGTAGGATCTCATTAAACCCGTGACTTAATTAAACACTGATGACAGTCCAAGCATTTTAATTTCGCTTTCTTCGTATCGCATGGTCTGGCTTCCCCTTATGACCCTGTCATATTGATTCAAAGGTCTCGCTGTCCTATGATAGATTAAGCTTTTTCTACCATTCTCTCCTATTTGAACGAACCATGACGTAAACACTGCTTTATTTCCTCCTTCGTTACAATTCAGCTGCCACCTTTTGCATTATTATTCAGATCCACTACTGAGAAAAAAAGAAGAGAAAAAAAAAGCAGAAAAAATCCATGCAGATACATCATTTCTAAACAACTTACTGGCGACAGATTTCTCAAGCCAAGTAACGGATGTCTAAAAAGTAGAGGAAATGCGTGTTTTCTAGCAGTTTCGGAGCAGCTGGGAATCTTCATTTTATCGGCAACGATGAACACGTAGAAAAGAGCGCGTATTTTTTTACAATTTCCGGTCTGGTATTCCACGCGCGGAGCTCGCGCGTGTTGTTCCAGCATGCGCAGTTTGCGTCTTGGGAACATGTAATCATGCGAAAATGGCGGATAAATCGCGAGGGCAGCATAATCGCCATGGTAGTGTGGTACGAATTGGTTACTACAATATCGAGAAGACTATCGGAAAGGGAAATTTTGCAGTGGTCAAGCTTGCTACACACTGCATCACTAAGGCCAAGGTACTTCGTGTGTCTAAATATGCGACTTCATCTTATGTTGTTTGTGACTTGAGTTCGCAGCGATAGCAAGCTCGTGCGATTAGCGTCTATTACAACACAACTTTATACTATGTAACTACTGCGTCGAAAGGACCGAGAGCTTACTTCTAATCAAACTTTTGGTCGAAATATTCACCACGTTTATTTTGGGTTATCTTCGTTCGTTTCCGAGCACTTTATTTTTCCGTTTGCTTCTTTCTCGACCAGGTTGCCGTTAAAATTATCGACAAAAGTCAATTGGATCAAGACAACTTGAAGAAAATTTTTCGCGAAGTACAGGTCATGAAAATGCTGGATCACCCGCACATTATTAAACTTTATCAGGTAAGTTGTGAGTATTATCTATATGTTGTATATTTATATTTTTTTTCTCTCGCTGCTTGTGGTTGAGTTGGCACTTTCGTCGTGAAAGGCCGTCGGCTTACATGACATGTCCACTCGCAGATGTGCACCACCTCTTCATCTCTGGCCGCTGTCTTCGATTCGCAGCGACAATTGAATATGAAACTACCGGAAATTTTATTCTGCTCTCAGTTTGATTGAGAAGCATCAACAAAGCTTTGAGGGAAAAGAATGACTACAATTCTTTTTTCCTACAGTTCGTGACAGCTAGCGTGGAAGAAAACACAATACGTGTATACACACAGATTGCTTGCCGGCAAGACAAGACTAGCGTCATATCGGCTATGTTTTTCAAGTGCCCGTGTCACGTCCTGTTTCTTTCGATATCGGCACGGTTTTAGGCCTTTCGGGATCTGCATGGAAGCGAAATCACTCGGAAAAATTTCATCCCTCTACAATCGTGCATATAATGTAACCGATTTGACTTGAAATAAACATCTCATGTTGTTGGTTTCATGTAAGATTCCACCACCACCGAATGATCCTTGACAAATACTCTAATTTTCGCTTTAGAGGACAATGGACTCATATTGGGTACAATCTCGATGTACAATTCTCAAGAGAAATTTTCCCTCTTACGCTTGAAATATTACTCATCTCTGCAAGGAGCTGCTGTAAAATAGTAAATATCGCTTTTTTTCCCTCGCGATGTTTTTGTTTACAAATTTGCAACTGCGGTTGTTTGACATCCATCGTATGAAATTAACTCAACCGACGTTACGAACTTGCTGTTAAGTTACTTTACAAGTAAATACTTTCATTTCGTTGGAGGTCTGAACCTTAGATGTCGCGGAAACACGATGGTTTAGAAATTGCAATGGGTGACATTTTGAATTCTTGATTTTACTGGATCAACTGTAGGCTTATTCAGCTTAATAATTATTCCATTTCGTTCGCTTTTTGTTGTTTAGTAGCAATGCCTTCTCTTTTTTAATTGAGAGTGCTGTTTTTTGGAGGCATCTGTTTAGATCACCTCATATTTGCCCGGCTGTCACAGACGTGCGTTCGCCACACTTGAATGCTTCTAAAATTTCTATTCAACCCAAGTGTTTTGACAAAACACAACGCTAAGCAGTTGGATTTGTAACTAAGCTTTAATCCTCAAAATTTACCATACAGCTCTGATTTGCATTTAAAACCCAATTGTTTGACGAATCAGTGTTGTATGGGTTATTGGACCAGTTCTAATAAAATTAATCCATGAGATTATGTGAAACGGTTTAATTTCTTGCAAAGGTTATCACAACGTTTCTCTCACAGCTGTGAGACTTCACAAAAGTCTACAATGTATCTTTATAATTTTCACACAGATCATATCTTACATGTTATCTGCATCACAACATTTGAGCATGAGCAAAGACAAAATTGTAGTTCTTTATATATTTTGAAGGGGTTTAAAATTCTTGCAATGAATGTGTTTATCATCCGAAACAGACAACAGTGAAGTCCTTTGAAGTGCTTTCAAGAAGTTTAAGTCAGTGTGTGACCAAACAATAAAATGATCTCCAGATATGTTGGCAACATCAACAGGCATTGTAAATATTTAAGTTGAAGTGGATGCAAATTCCTTTGACTTTAAATCTCTGGGTCTTACCTTTCGATGATGTGTAACTTGTGTTTCAAGAGCAGAAGGGAAATCTTTAGGTTCTTCATTGGTTAGAAAATGTGTAGTCTCAAATAGTTGAATGCATGTAATTGAATAGTTTTTTGGATAAATATAATAATGACAAAATTACTATTTGTTTAATTCATGTACTGTATCTGTAGACATGAAGCCACCATTTTTTTTTGTGTTGTTGTGTTTTGTTTTCTTACTAAATAACATGTTTTTGCTGCAGTCTTTGATGCATTTAATTAAGGTCTTTAAGACCTAATTAAGTGCATTCACAGATGAAGCATTAAACCCTATAAGTTTGTTTCTAATTTTTTCAGATTTGGCTTCTTAATAAATCAATATATTATTATTTTATTAAATGTCATTTTTGTTACATGTATGTGCTTCACAACAAAAACATCCCTTTTCATAATTCCTTGACAATTACATTCTATAGTACTCAAGTTCTTTTGTTTATTTATTTATTTATTTATTTATTTATTTATTTATTGACTGCTATATTTTTACGGGGCAGTTGACGGGTGGGGGTGGGGGTGGGGAGGGTATATTAATTTTTTTCTACCTTCAGTAGACGTCAATGCTGTCACTACGTGTATGTTTCTGGGTACAGAATTTGAGTTGTTTTCATCAAAAACAGAGATTTCATCAAAAATCTTCAAGTGATTTAGAGTATGATGATAACATAATAAATGCCATGATAACTTAGACATGATTTGGTAAATTGTACTCTAGTCTGTTTTGGGCTTTTAAATTCTTGGAAATGAGGGGGAAAAAACAGTGTTTGCTAAAAAAAAGAATATTATTGATTTGGTTTGGATCCCATCCAGCCTCTGAAATTCTGGGTTTTCTATAATTTTGTTTTAAAATCATATGTGTGTGCAGCGTTTGTAATTTATAATCATGGTAATTGAACTGAGTGGAGTGCAATTTGGTCTGAAATCATACACATGATTTCAGAATTGAATTAGTGTGCAGCATGAGTTTGATTTGAAATTTAAAGTATTTATATAAATTTAGACCAAAATTTCATGACATGAAGTTCAATTGGCACTTTATTGCATCCATTTTTGATCACCTTGGTCAGTACCAATGTTTTATTGATTCAGTAGATGGTGTGTTGAAAGCAGAACCAGAAACACTCTTACATCTCACTTTGTATGCAAAAAAGAAAAAGATGCAATTTAGGGCACAAAATATTGTGATTCGTGAATAAATTGAAGTTCCTATAATTTGATTTCTAGCCTGGAAATCTGACTGGTTGATTTAGTGTTCCATTCTCATTGGCTGGGAAAAAAGATGCCGTTAAGAGAACAAAAATAGTGAGATTTGAAAATAAATTGCATTGCTGAGAGCCAATTATGGGTCATGAACTTTTTCTTCACATCAATGACAAACTGTGTAAATTGCACGATATGGCGATCGCTCAACCAATCCAGTGCCAAGCAGAAAATACCAATTATTATAACTTCTCCTCTTTTATTTGCATTACATCATTTACTCTAGCCTGGTTTTGAGAATTTGGTCAGACATAATGACAGGATCCCAAGATCCTTTGGTTGATTTGGTGACCCACACAATAGACTGCTGCAGTACAATAGACTGCTTCACTCTGGGAGTCTCCTAGATAAATCTATGTGAGCTGTTATAGATGCCCTTTCAGTGCTCATGAAGAATACCCTTGTGTAATTAACTCCTGGCTCAGAATGAACACAAGTTTTTTGACCAGACTTCCCTCATTGTCAGCCATACTTGTTTCTCAAGGTGGATTCAGCTGAATATCTTGAGACAAATTGAAATGCTCGGGTTATATTTTAACAATAACATCGAAAGAGCTTATTGAAGAACATACTAAATTTGTAGCTTTTTGGTTGTAGTATTGAATGAGACAGTGACTTTAAAAAATGGCAAAAATTCCTGAGTGGCAAAAGCAGTATTTGATAGGCCTATACACACACATATTCTTTGTAAATTTAATTTTTTAAACTTGCCACACAAAAAGTATCAAATATGTTGGGCACAAATTTCTTGGGACTGGATATATTTGGATATTGTTTCTGTGATCAGAATATGAGGCAATTATGCTGAAGGGAGTACATGTATGTTTGGAAATAGATACCACCCTTATTGAGGTTATGGTTTTGGGATTTTCGAAAGGGGTTTGATTCTGGAATAATCATTTACATATCTTCTCATTCATCCCCTGGTATGAGGAACTTGATATGGCAACTGTACTGTCTAGGATTCCTGATATTGTAGTGGTAATTGTGTGATATGCGTTTGCCCTGTTTGTTCATGTACATATTTCTAATTTTTTCATTGTTACAGGCATAATATTTAGAAATAAATTTTTATCTAGTTTTGCTGTGTTTTTTGATGTCATAGTGCAATTCAAGGTGGTTCATTTAATAACTTTGTGACGGATGACCATCTCCAGGCTGTCTACAAAAGGCATCAGGCTTGAAGATGTTTAAACAACAACCAAATTGTGGGGTGGGAAGGAAGTGTCTGGAGATGGGAGGGGACAGATGACATTGATTACAGCCATGGGTGGTGTGGCGTGGTTTGTAGGCCCGTACATGTACTGTATGTTTTTGTTTGTTTTGCAACAGGTGATGGAAACAGACAGGATGTTGTACCTAGTAACAGAGTATGCCAGTAAAGGAGAAATTTTTGGTAAGAGATTGAAAAATGCTCTTAAATAATCAACCTGAATTTAGTTGTCGTACGATTACTGTGTAAGATTTCTGTTAAATGTACTTCATACTAGTGCCATAATGACAAACATCGACATAATCACATAAATATGATGACATACATGTAAGCAGAATGTTGCATGTATGTCATGTTTGTAGTGTGAACATCCTGACATAATGACATAATAGCAACATAACAGCATGAACATAACAACATGAGGAAAATACTGATCTTTTCCTTTGTCTTTATGTGGAAGTTCACATTACCGACATAAGCAATTACCACAAACACTGGTGGAGAAGTCGCACTGGGGAAGAGGCTTTTTTGCAAGAACATCTGGACAATGTGCCATAAATTTGCATAAATTGATGCTTTTATTTGAAAATTTATAAGTGTAAAGCAAACTAATACTCACTTCAGAAAACTAATTTAATATCAGTCTACACACCGATCATTGTTCTTACAAGTTTGGTGGCTCCTGAAACAGCCGGTTTTTGTTCATAAGCATAAGCTTACATTTCTTGCTGTTAAACAGCATGCATCAAACCTTCATTTTAGCTACTTTAAGGCTACTGTAAGCACCTAAACATCGCACAGCAGGGAATCTCCATTCTGGCACAAAGTCAGCTGTGATTGCTGTGATCAAAGAAATTGAAAGCTGTTTGTGTCGAGTACTCCATCTCCTGGTGAAATGCCTGGCTGCTAAGCTATGAACAAATGAATGAAAGAGTTCTTGTTATTGTATGTAAAATTCTATTGCAAAAACTGACAGGAATGAAAAATACCAGAGAAAGATCTAACACATGTCAAAGTTGGTAGACATCATGTCCATACTATTGCAGAACTCAAATTTTAGGTACATGTAGGGGTTTCAGTGTGAAGTATTGTCTGTTTTAAATGTTAGTGTTTACATTCAATACATCAAGAAATGTACATGGTAAGAATCTTTCTCAAAATTTGAGTTGCTAAACTCAGGGTGCAGCTTATCTGCAAATGCGGCTCATCTGCTGGTGTTTACAGTAGGTCACTTGTGTGAACCAAGTCTTATTGCATAATCAAATGAAAGTGTAGGGGGAGGGGTAAATGTGGGTTTTCCCTTGCTTTGATGTGTGCTGACTCAAACCCTCAGCATGTTCATATTGTCTTTTTAATCCTGTGTTAGATCATTTGGTAGCCCACGGTAGAATGACTGAAAAGGAAGCTAGAAAGAAGTTTATACAAATTGCATCAGCTGTTGAGAACTGCCACAAAAAGAATGTTGTTCACAGAGACTTGAAAGTGAGTCTACGAAATAAATAAATAAATATAATTTGAAATAATATTTGTACGAAATAAATGATAAAAATCTTTATTTATGCATGGTGTCCATTTCACAAAAATGCGCTCTTTTACAAAGCTGGCCAAGTTTATATGTTAAAATAATCAACTTCTGAAGACAATTCTTTTCTACCCCAAGTAGTGTTTAGCTTCAGTTAAACAAAAAAACAAAAGCCAGAGAAAAGTAGAGTCTCTTCTCTTGCTTCAAAATACATGTACAGGTAAGAGTTCTGCTCAAACTTTAAGATTTGACTATTTAGAAAATGGTTAGCTGCCTTTATTTATGGCATGTTCAATCTGTGATCATTCCCAAGCTTAACAACTGCCTTGCAAAATGGAGGTTGGGCGCACGAGGCATCCAGGAGCTTCTGATATTGGCAGCCAGCTCCTAGATGGAGACTGCTCCCATGGCTGGCAAATCCTGGCAACCCAGGCTTAAGCTCCCACGCGAAAGGGAGAAAGTGGGCACCTGTTGTACTGATAAAACAGTGGAAAGAGAAGGGAGGGACAGGGGAGGGGAAACAACCTCTGAACACAGTCCCCTGCACTTGAGACTCACATGCTCAAGGAAAACGCTGAAAATGTAAAACTACTTGAATGCCTTGTGGCTCAAGAACACGTGGAATCCTGGCTCATGTGCAGATCTAAACTCCTCTGACTGCAATGGCAAGACTTGCATTCCTTGTTGTTAAAATCGGATCGGAAGTTTTTTAAATCAGCTTTATTTGGGAATGTATATGTACAAATTTATCTAAAATAGTAAAAATACACAAAAAAAAAAAAAAACAAAAAAAACAAATAAAAACAAAAGAAAAGAGAATAATTTCAAACAGGGAAAGCACATCTGAGATGAGGGTACCCATGCGAGACGCTTCCCAGAATGATGCAATATTATTTATGTGCTGAGAATATGCTGGGTATACGCTTGAATGCTTAAATGTGTAAGACATCATTTGTAACTTTAAGACATGCTCACTGGAAACTTTCCATAACATTTTTCTTGATTAATCATGAAATTGTTGTTAATAACTAGTTTCAACTTTCCAGTTTTCATGCGACATACATGAATGCATCCTCAGTAAAGATTGGTGTTAATACTTGGCATTTTATTCCCTTTTCAGGCAGAGAATCTTTTATTAGATGAGAATTTTAATATTAAAATAGCAGGTGAGAATATATCTATGTAAAGAGTACTTTGCACTGTACATAGACACCATAAAAGAGTTACACCTTTCACTCTTGGGGGAATATTTGTGAAATGGCAATATTTCAGACCCAAAGACCACACATATTATATACCAGTTGAAAGGCATTGTTTGTGGAATACCATATCATACCAATAGTCCTGCAGGTAATACATCAAACACGAAAGACCGTGTTTGACCACATTTCCAAACACCAGGAAAAGGGTTGAAAATACGAAGCGCAGCGGAGTATTTTCGACGAACTTCGAGGTGTTTGGAAATGTGGTCAAACACTGTCTTGAGTGTTTGATGTATCTGCTCAATCGAAACTAAAACGAAGGAGAAAATGGAAAAATATAATCTTAAAACTCTATGCTAATTAAGATCAGACATCCAAACACCGTCACGGTCTTGATTTCCTTTGTTTAAAATTGCTGAATTATTAATAAGTTTGAGAAGCATAGAGCAAGTCACAGCTTAAACTGAAAACGAAAAAGAAAAATGTTAGAATCTTCTCCTGTAGTTGGGGTATACTCCTAAGCTACAAGTTTATTTACAGCTCTTAACCCGGAAATGTGCTCGGATATTTGTCCGTGGAGATTATCTTTTCCGAGAAGTGAACAGTTTTCCGAGAGCGTAGCTCGTGGAAAACTGTGAGCTTTGACATCCCGTAACAATGACATCCCAATGACATCCCGTAACAATGCAAAACTAGAACAAACAAGAATTACTTTCAACATTCAAGTGAAAAGCGCTCTTTGTTCTTTGGCAGACTTCAGACAAAGTACAAAGAGTGATTTCCACTTGAATATTGAATATTGAGGGGAAACAAAACTAGCATGTAATGTTGCTCTCTGCAATAAAAACTGCAAAATCAGAAAATGTATGCCCAGTTGCATAGTAGACTCAAAAAAAAAAAAGAGAAAAAGGAAAAGATTGTCATGAACATTGTCTCGAATAGTTAAAATAGGCATTGGCTTAAAACGCACTGATGTTATTTATCATAATTAATATTATAATAATACATTGACTCATAGGGGAGTGAAAGAAACTTAAGTAGTCCCTAAGTGAAGCAATACGGACTGCGCGTGAGTTATTTGCACCGATCTGCCGTGATAAAGTATTGCTCTAAAGGAAACTGTTTTCTATAAGAAAAACCTATTTCAGTTACTTCTGGGAGACAATTTTTAGTTAAACGTCTAGGAAAGCAAGCACCAAAGTGCTTTTTATTGTCCCGCGCAAATGCGGAGAATCCATGTCCCGTTTATCATAGAATGTGAAAGAACCAATTTAATATTAGTAGGATATCAAGAAGTTTGTTTAATTAGTCGGTCCCAGTTGGGGAAAGTTATTCATGTATTAGGTCTCGTGATAAAGTCGGTCTCGTTCAAGATTCTTTTTTTTTTTCAACTTCATGGACCTTCGATCATCTATATTATAGTTGTTGCTTCATTTTCACAGATTTTGGATTCAGTAACATATTCCAAGAAGGAAAACATCTCAAGACTTGGTGCGGCAGTCCGCCTTATGCAGCGCCGGAGCTCTTTGAAGGAAAGGCGTATTGTGGACCGGAAGTGGACATTTGGGTAGGTGTTACGTAACGTATGCCCTGCAAACTCGCTGGTTAAAAGATATATTGGCCTCCACTTGGTGCGAAAATATGCTTGGATATTTGCCGCGGATAATATCTCTGAGCTTTGAGGAACAGATAATGTCCCAGGACGAATATCCGAGCATATTCTCGCGCCAAATGTAGGTTATTGTCTTTATTATCCTTCAAATAATTTTTGCAACACGCGCAGTTTTGAAAGTTGGGAAATATATTCTGTAACGTGGTGCGTTTATACCGGTGGCGCGCGAGCGAAAATATTTCCAATTGATGGATTATAACAATTGATATTCTGAAAAAAATATGTTGCTTTCTGATCTTGTCAGTTTCTGATGAAGCTTGTGGTTCATCAGCGAACAAATAAAGGAAAAAAACGCAGCTGGTTGTCAACCTTGATAACAAGGGCGGCCGTTCGGGTTCTTCCGTTCTGGTCTTGACTCATGACTCTTTGCAAAAGGATTCGCCCAAACAGATGAAGAAATTATAGCTGGTGTTACGAAAAGTCCGCATATTGGCAAGTTTATGAGAATTTTTTTTATCTTGATCTTGAAATATTGAGGGGCTATGGGTTCAGCGGTTGATGATAGGAACGTTCATGTGTGTCCGGAAGAGGCTTCATGTGATAGTCATAAAACGCCCCTTTTGAGTAGGCGTAGAAACATAGTGCACTGTGTTTGCCCACACATCACGTAGTCTACAACTTCCTTGGAGGGAAAAACGAAGAAAACCCTTTGGGATTTTGTGCTCTTTGCTTATGCTAAGATTCCTTGCGATTTTTTAAGAACTCGGAGTGTGAATTTCTGTTATTTCCTGGGGTGCTGAAGGTCAAAGTTGAAAGAAAAAAAAAATCATTTGCAATATATTGAAAAACAAACAGCACCACTTGAAAGTACCGTGAGGTAGCTTGCACTGCAAAAGTAATAGAACCACATGAAAGTACTGCTCTGTAGCTTTCATTTGAATGATCACACACTAGGGTTTCATCCATAGACTTAAGAGATTGAGTCAAACAAGTGTGCATAGTAATTGATTTTGGAAGTAAAATCACTGAACGTGAGCAGGTCACTTAAGGTTAATGACTGGAAGCGCCTCTGTCGGAGAAAATTAAGTTTCCATTGATCTTTTGTTCTGCGTGTGTTTGTTTGCTGTGAGTTTTCTCGTCAAGGGCAATGGACGTGAGGGGCGTGAAATTTAATTTCTTTAACTCCCACTCCGCCAGTGTTTCCGTTGGTATAAGTCACTCCTTTTGGCTGGTATTATATGTCGCACCTTTTGCATTTACCAGATGCTGTTCAAATGCTACCTGTACAAAACGGAGAGCTTTGGAGTGGGCTTTCTCGCGCGTTTTCAGTTTAAACGGACTCTCACGCGCGTCCCCACGCGACGCGCGCGTTTTTGTCTGCCATGTATTCGCGTGCCAGTGTTTGCATTTTTCTCGTGCAAGGAACCAAATTTGAGGATTTTATCAATCATGTACTATTTACGGGACTCAGGGAGAAGTTGCAGAAGAGCTCGTAGATATGGCACTTTAAAACGCCCTCAGTTGTACGTCGATAGGTTCATTGCGGCTGTTTTTTCCGACGCTCAAATTAGCGTCCCTGCTGTGAAATACCTTCAGGCTGTTAAGAAACAAGTGAACCGGGACCCGACGGCGGCCCGTAAAACGACAATGCATGGAAAGATTTGTTCACACCACGGCGTGCGTTCGAAACATTTAGCTAAGAAAGTTGGGTTTGCTTTAGGTGAATAGTACTTGAAGACTTTGCTGATTTTCGTCAAGTTTGTAAATTGTGAAACAAGAACAACGTCCTCTAACTCCGCGAGTTGTTGAAGGCAGCGAGAGGCCGTCATGCATAAACAGTCATATTAGACATCACCATGTGTCCCGCTTGATACACTAGCCATGTGTTCTTACTTACTGTTGCATGGCATTGACGCAGTGAAAAGTAGTCATTTGTTTGCCAATGTCTGGTCCAACCAACTTTGAATAACGATCACTTTGGTAATTAAAGCTCAAACGTAGACTATGTGCCTTTTGTGCTTCAGCCTGCAAGGTGAACTGATTTTTAAGGCATACAGCTGTACATCCCTCTAAGTAGATACGTCTGTAAGACATAAATTTCTAAGGGACGCGTCTCTCTATGTGGGACATTTCGGGAAGGCGGACACTTGTCCTAAGTGAACACCCCTCTGAGACAAACTGCTTATAAGCAGACTTTTTTTTTTAAGTAGACACCTCTTTGAAGCTGGTGTCTCTATAAGAAAGACATCTCTTTAAGACGCACACCTCTAAGGCAGACCTCTCTAAGCCAGACACCTGTAACTCAGAGGCCCTTGCCTTTTTAGGCAGCCACACCTTTGATGCAGATCTTTCTCAGTCGGACGGCTCTAAGGTAGACACCTACATATGATGTAGAGCTTACTTCTCCAAACAGCGTCCATACAAAATTCAGTTTTGGGAATATAAGAATCAAGACAGTGATCAGCAAAGATAAATTGTCTTCAGTCGATATTTGAAGCAATTCTCAAAATACGTACCAAACGAAATGTAAAGGGCTAGTTGGGAGAAACTGTAGACTGACGAGCTTGTATTTTTGCAGAGTTTGGGAGTAGTACTCTACGTGCTGGTGTGTGGTGCTTTGCCGTTTGACGGGAGTACATTGCAAAGTTTGCGTTCACGCGTCTTGGACGGTCGATTCAGAATTCCTTTCTTCATGTCCACAGGTCAGTGAATGTTTTAGTTAACGTTTTGCTACCGCCATTGTCATTAGGAAGAACTCGTGAACGCTTTCTTCCCAAAGCTCGCTGGTTCGGGAGCAAAATTTCCTGGGATAAACGATATCTCAACCCTTTAATTGAAAATCCTGTACGACTAAATGTCGTTCCATCCACAGAGTTGAGCTACATTCACCTTGGACAACATAACAAACAATACCACATGAAATTACTGTTCAATAGTTTTCACTTGAATGGTTACACACAGGGGTTTCATCCACAGACTTAAAAGTTAGAACCACCTTATACAGCATAATAAACAGTACCGCATGAAAGTACTGCTCAATAGCTTTCATTTGAATGGTCACACACTAGGGTTTCATCCACAGACGTTAAAGTTACAACCACCTTTTAAAGGATAATAAACAGTACCACATGAAAGTACTGCTCAATTGCTCTCATTTGAATGGTCACACACTAGGGTTTCATCCACAGAATTAAAAGTTAGAACCACCTTGCACAGCATAATAAACAGTACCACATGAAAGAACTGTTCCATAGCTTTCNGCTTTAATTCCTCGGAAATGATTACTTGTTTATTCTAAGAAGCCAAAATTCAAGCTATAGTTATGAAGTTCAGTTTCATGACCAAGCAAGGCCAAGGCTTGCGCTTCGTTTTGACAGTTAGCTGTTGACTCTTTACCTGAAAGAAAAAGTGCGCAAATGGTGCCCAAAGAACGATATGAATATGAATATATGTTCCACAGAGCCCTAGGATTTTATTTCTTTTTTGCAAACACAATGAACAATGTTGCTGAGACGTAAAATGAAACTGAGCTTAGCAAATATTGTTAACCTACAGAATACGGTGAAAATTAAACTGCGCGCGCTACTTAGAAGAATCCCTTTACAGCTAGCTTGAAATGCTATTGATAAGCAAGATATACTGGTTTAGCAAAGTTGATCTGGAAAGTGTCCTTTAGAAGGTGTGGTTGACGGAATGAGTTCCTTGTCCGTCGACGCTCCGCTCTGTTCCTAAAAGTACGACAAGGGCCACAACCTTAGGCGCAGGAAAAACGTCGAACTTTACATGAAACGGACTAAATTGTAATTTGAGTCCATACAAACGGGTAAAGTTCGACCGTTGGATCAAACGTCGAGTTTAATTCGAATTTGGATGGACGGATTAAGACGGATAGGCCGTGTTGATCGATCTTAATTCAGTCGAACGATCTCAGTTGAGTCAAACGTTAAACTGATCTTGAACTTAATTCACTCACTCACCCTTAGTTCGTCTCATATGAAGTTCGACGTTTGACCTGGTCCTTATAGCCTTGCTTTGTAACTGAGTACAAGACAAAAATTACTGATGTTGATCGTAAAGAATGTCCTTAATATAACAGCTGAACCAAGAGATCATCAAGGTAAGAGAGTGAATCCCCATATAGGCCTTCTACCTAATGTAATCCCTCTTAAGTTATTTTTAGAATCGAATCTTTTGTTTACGTTACACTTCTGAAATAGACCAAGTAAATCTTGGTGGTGGTCTCGTTATTTTGGTTAAACAAAGGAAGTCAGTAATAATAAAGTTATAGTCAGTTATGATCCTAGATCACGATGTTTCAAATGCTTCTTGCTAGTCTTCCGTCTAGCTAATTACGGGGTACCGTTTATGCCAACAAGGTGGGCTGTGATTGGTGAATTTCTATCCTCAGTTGTTCTGTTGATCATACCTGAAGCTATTCCCTCAGCGGTCCGCTGTGGTACCGTTTCCTATTTTTTAGGTGCGTGTCTTTCTTTTTTACCCTGGGCATCCTCGCTCGGAAATTTCGATTCCACCATCCCTGTTTATGTAATTAGGGTGAAGTGTCCAGTGGATAGCTTGCTTGACCCTGCGCGCAGGGAACTCGATTAATAAACTTTACCATGTTCCAAATTGGATAGAGACCGGTCTCTGAGGCATACTCTTCAACAGTTGTCAGTTTCGGCGATGTAAATTTTACCGCGTTTACTCGAAAGAAATCGGGCCACCTTGCTTGCACTAGTCGGGTCGACAGCGCCCTTCGTTGGTACAAAGTGTGACCTATAGCTTAGTGTGGTGTCGGACTTGAAAAGGACTCATATACCTTGTTATTGCCAAAAATCTTCATTCGTCGAGAAATTAAAGGGCATTTGACACCCTTCTGCGCATGTGTGGCAATTTGATTTTATACCCGACGGAACGGTTTTCAAAGTTGATATTTGTGAGAAAAATCCTTCTCCATCGACCTTGTGAGGCGTGTGAAGATGCAAATACTGATATTGAAAAACAGATTAGTCATCCATGAAAGATTTAAACTGCATATTTTGTATTTTGAGTTTAACACCGTCGAGAAATTCGATGTCCTCGCGAGGAAGTTTCCGACGCGGCTGGAGACGAAAGCTACTTTAGCCCCGTGGCCGTCTTGCTTCGAAAGAAAAAAGAAAAAAGAGCAAAGATAAGAAGGGAGGACGAACATCGGAAACTTCATAGACCTGCGGACGTGCGTGCAAGTTGGAAGAAAGTAAAGCGTGTGTTCTTGTATTCAAAGGACACGGCCTTCACACAACATAAACATGACAAATATTCTTTGCAAACAAAAGGTCAAAAGCCGGCGGATAAAGAAATTTTCGAAAGGCACGTGAGCGAACTCATGGCGCCCGTGATAGTAATGGTGTCAATCAAGTCCGCGCATGCGCTTTATCGTGACAGTCGTCCTTTATCTGAGTTAATGTCAAGTGATTAAAATAGCTTGTTCAGAGCCGGTTCTTACAAGCCTTCAGTACCCGGGTGCCCGAGAGTTTTCTTGGACAGTTGTCGGTCTTGTTCGACTCCGGTCATTTAGTCCGGCCCATCCCGAAGCATGTCGCGAGATTTATGGCGGTCAACGCAAAGATGAAAAAAAAAAAAAAAAAAATCCCAATTGAAAATCAGGTGATCTATGTTTAGATTTAATTGCTGTTAGAACAGCTCCATTCCTGTGCATTGGTGAATTTCTGATATTAAAATCATCACCTTTCTCAACATCATTCCCATGTCTGCTTTCTTCGAGTTAGAGTGTAAAACAGTTTGTTTCACGGATTCATATTTTAGTTATTAGGCGGGTAGTCACACAAAGTTCCGCTGTTCACACCTCAGTGAGCCGCTCAACGCACGCGAAACCCTGCGATCAAACTGCCCTTGCTGTCCGAGGGTCAACTCGAAAGCAATCAGCTGATTTTTTATAGATTGGGAAAGTATTTTAATTGAATAACGCCGATCAGTTCCAGTCTAGTAGACCGCTGAAGCCAGGCAAACTCGCCTCGCGGATCGTGGGACGTACACGCGAAAATTTGCGTGAGAACTCGTCCACTCGCACCATGACCTCGTGAAATTTATGGTCGATGTATTTTTCACGCGTGAGAACGTTGTTTATCGTGGTTCTCTTAAGTCACATCAGAACGTCATGTTCTCCCTCGACGAAACGTTTCCATAGATGCTGTTTATTCAAATGTATTCAGTGGTTTCTGACAAGACCGTAAAAAAAAAATATTTATTTTTATGCGTGAAGTTTTAGGTGGTTGCACTATTCAATCTGCATTAATATGAGTTTTAGCGTGATTTTCTTTTTAACGACCGCCTTCAGAGAGAAAAAAATGGTAATGTTCAGAATTCCATGCCCGTCTCCTGTTGAAAAAAAATTGCAGTAAACCAACCGTAACCCTAGCTGGAATCATTTAACTTACAATAAAACCAAGGAAACACATAAGTGGCCGAGCCGTGAGAAAAAATATAACTAAACAAAAAGAGAAAAAAAAAAGAAGAAGGAAACGGTTGAAAAGCGCAGAAAAAGCATGAAAGTTCGATTTTAGTTCTGCAAATGATTGGCTGAAAACAAGTTGTCTTTGTTGTTATTGGTTAGATAAATAGTGGGGATTTTTGACACGTTGTTAGCCTTTGTAAAACGCGCTTCTCGCTCAATTGCCTGTAACATTTTAATTCTTCTTTAGAATGTGAGCACCTCATTCGTCACATGCTGGTCCGTGACGTGGCAAAGAGGTACACCATGGTACAGATCATGAACCACAAGTGGATAAATGAGATGGACGAAGAAGACAAGGCGAGCGCACTCCTCACCGACACGCTGCCTGATTCAGAGTTCAGTGAAGAAGTGTTGACGATGATGCTTGCTAGAGGAATTGATCGAGAAAAGACCATTCAGGTGCTGATTTTCTGTCCAATAATTAATTGCGACTCTAATGAATGCAAATATGACGCTGTGGAAGATTATCTTGCTCTTAAGCGGAAGGAGGGGGTGGCAATTTTCAGGGGCGTGAAATGCTTTTCTCACCATAGGTTTTNCTCCCTCTCAAAAAAAAGTGTGGTCCGCTCCAAAGTGAACAGCCTCCGATATAGGCGATCTGTGGTCTCGTCTCGCAGTCTTTCTTCCTTACCACTTGCTCACTTGCCACTGGATGACGAGGTGGAAGAGGACTGCGCGACGAACCTATAGAACGTCTTTGTAGGGGACTATTGGATGTACAGTCTGACAGTAGTGTCCTTATTGTTCTTTGCAGTCTCTCTGCCAAAAAGATTACGACCAGTTTGCCGGGATTTATTACACACTTCTGGAAAAGGTCAAGAAATCTGCCAGCTCATCGCACGACCCATGCGCCAATATTACTTCCACACCGGGTACCACGGCTGATTCGGAAATGATGGAGACGGATGTGGAAGGAGCTGGCTCCGAGAAGCCATCCATGACAGTCCCTACCGTACAGGTGACTCCTGACTCGCCCACGAGACGAGTCAAACCCCAGCAGGACCAGTGGGATCTGACCCAAGAGGGAGACGAGGAAGATGATAAGATGCCAGACGACATCCTTCCCAGTTTGAAGTCTTACCTGGAAAAGCGCCGACACACCCTCACTGCGGTGGACCCGTTGATGGAGATATCACCAGAGCTCCGTGAGGTGTTCTCTCAGCAGTTCGTTCAGCGGCCGTTAAGTCCCCTGGGTCAGGCTACCGAGGATGCATTCTCTGGAGCTACTCTAGGATTGAACCCCACTCTTCCTCCTTATTCCCCCACGTTAGACCTCTCTCTGGCCTACAAGGAGCAAATTCTGCAAGTGCCTACGGTGTTCCAACTGAGACCGCCCATGGACAGAAGAGCTTCCGACGGACCAACGAGTTTAGCGGCTGGGATCGCACAGTTCCATGCGCTTCGTGCTATGGCCGGGTATGCGGACGACAGTCAAGGTAATACCGGCTCGCTGAGTGGTTCGCCGTTAAACAGTTGCAATCCTATCGTAAGTCAGTCACCCTTTTCAGTGTCACCAGGACCCTCGAGCCCGCAAATAAGCGAAGGAGCAAACGACAGCGGGTCGGATCAAGAGCCTGACCAGGACGCCATTGCGCGTTACATGGCTTGCCGTGGATCGCGGCAACGTCACACGTCACCGAATGAAATGCCGGACGAGCTACAACTTCGGCTACTGCAGGTACCACTAAAAACGAGACGGACTGTGTTTCCTCCTGGCAGAGGAGCTGCAGGGCGAGAAGGGACATTCATCCCTACCCCAACAGGAATGCGATATAACACGTCAAGGCGAGCCTCGGACGGTGCAGCGTCGGTGCTTGCTTACAAGCAGCATTTAGAGCGCATCGGTGGCAGCGGGTCCAAACGCAACAGCCTGCGTGAGCTACAAGAGGAATGCTTGCAACTGCAGCAGCAGTATGGCCGAGTAGCGGAAGCGGAACAACAACGAAGGCAACAGGAGCAGCATGTGCAACACTTACAGCAGCAGTTTTACAGCAGAAGGGCGTCAGACGGGGCCGACTCGTTAGCTGCCACGCTAGCACAGTTCCAGCAACAGTACACGCCCGCCCACACAAGCCAGGAGTTGGACCTGGAAGGTCAAAGGTCGGATGTGGAAGATTTAGAGGAAACGCACACCCAGCCAACGATGGAGCACCAAGATGTCCTTCATCAGGAGATGCAGCGCTTGAACATTGAACATTGCGCGCCATCCCCTTTTGACTCTGCCGGCATTATCCACTCATCTTCTGGAGGAATCGGCCCGGACGGGGCCGCTTTGTCCTCTCTCGCGTCAAACCTCGCGTCAAACTCACCAAGAAACAGCATTGTTATCGAGGATTCGTCGCCCGTTTCTTCCACAGATACGTCGAACTTTCTGTCTCAGAATATTTTATCATCGCAGGCCAACACGTCCTCGTTTTTACCCGACGGCGGCGTATTGTCTTCCCCAGTTCCCTCTCCGCCGCCATCTCCTCTCATATCCGCGGTACCTCTGAGTCAGCGGTACCCCATTCCTAACATCACCACCGCTGCGAGGACCTCATCGAACGGAAGTTTAGTGGAAACTGGGCCGGAAACGGGCAATATCCCGCAAATACCCGCCAATATGCCGGGCGTTGTGATGGGTAATGCGATCATAAATGAAAATGATCTCGAAGAATTGGCGAGAGCTAGATGGGGACTGGGTGCGGGAACGCTTCCGCTAAGTCCGACAACGCTTCTTGGGACGTTTGGGACAAATCCCGCGGCCGCGCTTCTCGTGGGTAACGTCGGTCAGAGGTCCCCCGTGCATCACCGTCGACATCACACGGTACCGTCCGCGCAGGATGCGTGGAATTCCATGGACTTGTTGAGAAGAGCGACGGCGAACAACGTCTTGTCGCAAAACCACGCCAGAGATATGTTAAACAACAATATCAATTTGGAAGAAGGGCTTGGGGTTAGGGACGGTCTGTTGTATAGAACTCTTTCTCCCAACGGGACGATCCATCAGGACTCTTTTCTCAAATCTCCAAATAAAGGAGACGTGGCGCCGGACTTGACCCAAGCGAACACGCTACGCATGGCGTTCTCTGTTAATATGACTTCTAACAAATGTATCCCCGATATTATCAGTGAAATAAGGCGATCGCTAGATCAGAGATCCGCCAAGATAGCGTACGAACAGTCGGATCAAACATTCACCCTTCAACAGGGGGGTGTGTGCGCTGAAATTGAGGTGTGCCCACTCCAGGGGAATCTCAACGGACTACGCCTGCGACGTGTTAGCGGCAACCCATGGCAGTACAAGAGACTCTGTAATGAGGTATTGACCGGAATGAATTTGTGACTGAAGCAGAGCTGAGTGGACTGAATTAAGAAATTCTTTTTGGTTTAGTAGATAAAAATTGCGTGACAGTTGTGCTAGCGTGACTTTATGCATCTCTCACTTGCGTGACCTCAATCTTAGTTGCTTCGTTATGCGAATTTATTCCTTTGTCTAGTCTTGGTTTCAGAGGGCAAAGGTAATTCCTAAACCAGGAAGAAAAGCGTGTTAGAATCGTGAGTTTTCTCTCCTCTTAGTCGTTTTGCTTCGTGAATTGCGCAAATTCGTTCTAGGAAAACCAGAGTACAGATTCAACTTTCCATGTGCAGTTGTCGTAATCTTAATGTTCGCAACGTGAATGTGGCATTTCTGTTGTGGTGAAGTACTCATGAAGTGACAAGGTTCTTTTATTGTACCGAAGATGAATTATATTTCCGTCCAAAAACATTCAAAGGTGTTTTCCACATTTTTCACGACAAAATGTCGGAGTTGTAGCGTAAATTACGAGCATTCGACAACTGTTTTGCTTTTATTTTGCAAAAGTTGACGTTCACGACATTTCACCTTTATTGTTTTCCATGTCACCACTTCTAAATGTGATGGAATTTTCTAAAAGTATAGTATTCCTCAGAAATGTAATTAATCTGACTTTGATTTAATCGCATGCGCATGCCTGAACGAAAGTTTGAGTTGGCCTTATAAAGGGCGATCACTCTCAAATTACGAAGTCGAGAAGCTGTGGAAAGTGACTCGGCAAATGTTCGGCAGTTTTCGTATCTTCTCGTGTTCTTGCGATTAGACACGAAGTGTGGGAGGTCTGTGCAGTGTATAGATATTTGTACAGTAATGAAATCTCTTGCTTGCCCAAGTAAAATAATGTAATATATTTTCCCCTCGAAGAATATCATCGAGGTAAAGAATTGTATCTCTCAACCATAGAATCTTTGTACAGTAAAGAATATCGATGTGTCTCCATAGTCTTGTGTAGTGATTGTTTTAGTTTCCGTCCACATTACGCCGGAGAAGTTTGAAAACGCAACAATCACCGGCCATTTTGGATTTATGTTTGAAGACAACTCGGGCAAGGAAATCACGTGATTATCGTGACGTCATCGTTTTCAAAAAGCTCCTTTTTTAAAAAATTTTCCGTCCACGCTAAAACTCAAAGCCGGCGTTTTCAAATTCTTCCGGTTTGAACAACGTTTTCGTAAAGCTTCGTCTTCGAGACGGATTATTGTGGGCGGTAGGCTTGACCGTAGAAATATAGCTGCGTTTTCAAATTTCTAAGGCGTAGCGTGGACTGGTCTTTGATGTCCTCTTCACACTGGTGCATTTTTATTCGTAAAGACGTACTTTTTGATGCGATTTGAAAATGTATTAGAGAAAAAGCGTTGGCGATTCTTTCCGAAACGCTGACGTCATGATGACCGCTGTGCTGGCCCTGGCAGCAAAATCGTTCCCAGAGTCCACGATGCTTTCGTTCAGCGGCAAGAATCGAGACCTGGGCGAAACCGAAAGGTGAGCCCGCAGTAATCACGGAGGTTGCCCTATAAACTAATATCGAGCCTAGACGCATGCGCAAAATAAAGTTTGACAAGGTGTTCGGTCACTGCTGACCTTAAACACGCGGGCTTACCGCGCGATTATTTATTACAAAACTTTGATCATGGATGGTGCGCACTGATTGGTTGTGATATGTAACCAGGGCGGGAAGGCCAGGACAGGAACGGCATAGACGCGGGAAACTCTCGCTAGTCCCGTCATGTCGCCAAAGACAAAACGTTTAAGATGTGTATTTTCGACATTTTCATATAGGACGGTAACGTCGATAACTTGAGCTTTGTAAAAGCTCCACAAAATCAATGACACCCGTTAGAGAAGGTAGAAATCTTATCCTGTGTATTAAGGTGAACAAAAGAGACGACGCTGAATTTATTCTACTTTATATAAGTGAAGCAAACATCTCGGCTGTCAGTGTTTATAACGGAATCCAGAATTCCGAATGATGAAATTATACGAAAGATCTTATCGACCTGGTTCAGATGTTTTTTTAGCTTTAAATCTCCATCTCTAATAGGAACAAGTATTTCTAAAAATAAAACAAACATTGCATCAAGGCAAGTTCCGGAAATCCTAACAGTTCATAACTATTGAAAATATGTTCATTTGTATTTAGTTGTAAAAAGGGATTGAAAGAACTCTATAACACCTCGAGCCATTTCGGTACGCTATCGGTACGCTATCGGTACGCTGTCGGTTGTACTTCGTGCTTCCGAAATGTTAATTACTAATTACAAAATAGTGCGTTACTGGCTTTAAGCCAGTAACCACGAAAACTAAACCTTCTAGACAAAAGGAGTGAGGAAACTGAGAACCTCGGTTGACAAGTTAACCCTGGTCACGAGGCTAACACGAGACAACTGACTAAAAATAACAGTTAAGCTGTTAAGTAGTGAACAAATTTTCTTCTCAATACTTGTCTAGTCTGGGTTTCAGAGGGTTCCTATACTAGGAAAAAACAGCGTGGATACATAGAATCGTGAGTATTTTTTTCTTTTAGCCTTTTTGCTTTATGAAGTGCGCAAATTCGTTTTAGGAAAACCAGAGTACAGTTTCAGTTTTCCAAGGCTTGTGCTGGTTGCCTTAATCTTAATGTTCCCAGTGTGAATGTGGCATTTCTAGATCTTTCTAGGGTGTTAAGGTGATCAAGTGTTCATGAAGTGAAAAGGTTCTTTTATTGCACCGAAGATGAATTATATATCCGTCCAAAACCACCATTCAAAAGGTGATTCCTCTCTGTAATTTTCCACATTTTTCACGACTGTCGGAATTTCGGGGTCTTGTAGCGTACATCCCGGACCATCACGGACATTTGGTAGCGTGCTTCTCACGGTCAATTTTGTACGTGTAGGACAAACAGTGTTACGGAACCAACGTATTGCGACGAAGAAACTTGGCTTGAAATCAAAGCGAAATTATCAACAATAAAAATAACATCCCACCAAAGCGGAAAAAATCAAATCGGTTCCGGGAAGATTCTGGACTCACTGCGGAATAGAACCTTTGCTTACAAGCACGCATGAACCTAACCTCTTTTGGAGCTTTAGATTCATGTGCATTGTAAAGAGTTATGCTTAGACGCGGAGATTGTGAACGAACTAACCTCTTGTGATATAAAACAAGTTATTTAAATTTCTGTACCGATCGACCTTTCTGAATTTTGCCGGAAGGAAGGATGAAAAGTCACCTGACTCGTCACGNCCTTCGCCCTCAAGGGCCACGGGTCTATAGCCCATTCGACTTCGCCTCATGGGCTATTGACCCGTAGCCCTTACGGGCTAATCGTAAACGGAGACCATGCCTTATTGACCGAGCGATAGCGAGGCTAATACGTCAAGGTTGAGGTTTAAGATTTTTCCTATGAAGACCGAACTTTCGAGGTTAATAAGTAGCTTATTTTTTGCTCTGTCTTTACAGGCCCGTAATCGGCCCGTGGGTATTACGGGAGAATGATGTCCTACAGTTAGCCAATCAGAGCGGGTGTTAGATCGGCTACAAACACAAGCCATATAATAAATATTTATAGTTATATATTTTTTTGCATTACAGACAACTGTAATTTGCTTTCTTAAAAATGAGGGAAATTATTGTTTTGACTGTAATCCTCATTCTGTTACCGCTGTGCGTAACTGGCACCATCTACTATGCCGATGGAAATAACGGCGACGACTTAAATGACGGGGAAGGCATTTCCTCTGCATTCGCAAGCATTAAGCCTTGCATTGACGCACTGACGAATCCTGGTGACGAATGCCACATTCGAAGTGGCCGCTACCATCAATCAGAATTCCAGATTTCTGGTAAACATGGCAGTGCAGATCAACCCATGCTCATTCGTGGCTATCAGAACGAGATTCCAGTTATCGATGGAACAATCCCGCTGACGCCTGAAGCTGGTTGGGAACTTGGAGAAGATGGGATTTACAGCGCCCAAATAGAGCGGGATATCTGGCAGCTGTTCGTGGATGGTGAAATGATGACCAACGCTCGATGGCCAGACTCTCTGTGGTCGGACAAAACTATTTTCTTGAACAAATTCTGGGGAAAGTCTGCCAAGAGATCAAGGCGTGGAAAAATGATCGATAATGGCGAGCAGAACTTAGCTGGAAGTGGCTTAAACGCGACAGGAGCCATGGCTATTCTAAACATCGGTAGCTTCAATACTTTCACTGCTATCGTAAAAAGCCACACAACCGGACAGAACTTTTTCACTTACCACGACACGTTTGGTAAGATCGACTTCAAGCCGTTCCAGAATCAGTATTTCCTGGAAGATAAACTAGAATTTCTTAATAAAGCTGGTGAATGGTTCTACAACAAGAACACAAAAACTGTTTACGTGAAAACGCTGGATGGAAAAAGTCCTGAAGGAAGGATACGTGGAAAGGTAAACAAAGGCAATCACTCCTTTTCTTGAGCATTTTCTCATTGTTTTCTTGTAGAGGTGCGGTGGCCTCATGGTTAGTGCGCCCGACTCCGGATCGAGCGTCCCGGGTTCGGCTCCTAGTCGGGGACATTGTGTATAACATGTCGTGACACTCGGTTGAAAGCGTGACTTCTCTCTTCTCCAATTTTTATTTCTTTCCAATCTTTCTTGTGTTTTGACTTTGACCTCGTATTTCGCGACTGGAAACAGTGGCGAAGTTTTGGTTTTACTTTGCTAAATTTGACTTTCACGACATTTCACCTGTATTGTTTCCAATGTAATGCAATGTGACTAGAAAGGGTATTAGAAAATTATTAGCATCAAACATACGGCTATTGCTGTTTTTGTTGCTTTTTGCTTTTTAATACTGAGAAATATCAGAGGAAAAAAGATCTTGAAGACATAGCGGGTTCGACATATATATGTTTATAGCATGCCTTAGAAAATACAGCCAATAAGAATACAGAACGCCGCTGTACGTATATATAAATATTAGTATCACCCAACTAGTAGATTAATGCAAATCCTGCATTTTGATTGGCTACGCTACTAGAGGACTATTAGTAAGAGTCCTCGAGTAGCGAAATTGGCGCAATCGAGCGTGACGCTTTCATTCGTTTTATTCCCAAATAAATATTTCTTGCATCTGCTAACTTTATTATTGCCTTTTCTGTCCGACTAGTTGGGTGATACTAAAACAATTAGACCCTTCGCCCTTAAGGGCCACGGGTCTATAGCCCATTCGACTTCGCCTCATGGGCTATTGATCCGTAGCCCTTGCGGGCTACGGATCTAATTGTTAAATAGCCTCCATTTGGCGCGAAAATATGCTCGGATATTTGTCTGCGGACATTATCTGTTCCGAGAGGTAAACAGTTTTTCGAGAGCGTGGCTCGTGGAAAACTGTGAGCTTTGAGGAACAGATAATGTCCAAGGACAAATATCCGAGCATATTTTCGCGCCAAATAGAGGCTATTGTGTTTATTATTCTCATGCTTCAAACATTTTTCGCAACACGTGCGATTTTGAAAATCGTAGAATATCACTCGGATATTCCCCAGTTTTCGCCGGGAATTTCAGTCACGTGAGGCGTTTAGACCAATCACACGCGGGCGAAAATATTTGATAGATTATAATCGACAGTATTACACCTAACCTTCCCATCATGCGCAGCGCGTACGTCGCATCGATCGTGTTGGTCACTGTATTTTCTATGGCATGGTATAAAATAGTTATGCGATGCTCTCTTGTGGTATGCCATGCAATATCACATTTGTCACCTGTATCTTGGTATACACACTCACCTAAAGGCCTGTGTGTATACGGAGAGAACACAAGTTTACTCGTCGGATGTTCCTTGGTATGCCACTCGAAAGCGTTGCATAATTAAGTAGTACTCATTAACTACTTATTAAGCAAAAGTGAGGTCTTAAAGGATGGCCCTATTCTCCCAAAGGCGGGCCAGAACTAATGATCATGATGAGGTCTTTGAGGGAAAATCGCAAACCGAGACCAAGTCTTATTGACCGAGTGATAGCGAGGCTAACGTACGTCAAGGTTGGGGTTTGAGATTTTTCCCGTAAAGGCCGAACGTTCGAAGTTAATAAGTAGCTTATTTTAGGGCTTTTTGCTCTGTCTTTACAGGCTCGTATTCGGCCCGTGGGTATTACGGGAGAATGATGTCCTGCAGTTAGCCAATCAGAGCGGGTGTTAGATCGGCTACAAACACAAGTCATGTAATAAATATTTGTATTTATATATTTTTTTTGCATTACAGACAACTGTAATTTGCGTCCTTAAAAATGAAGAAAATTATTGTTTTGACTGTAATACTCATTCTGTTACCGCTGTGCGTCAGTGGCACCATCTACTATGCCGATGAAAATAACGGCGACGATTTAAATGACGGGGACGGCATTTCCTCTGCATTCGCAAGCATCAAGCCTTGCATTGACGCTCTGACGAATCCTGGTGACGAATGCCACATTCGGAGTGGCCGCTACCATCAATCAGAATTCCAGATTTCTGGTAAACATGGCAGTGCAGATCAACCCATGCTCATTCGTGGCTATCAGAACGAGATTCCAGTTATCGATGGAACAATCCCGCTGACGCCTGAAGCTGGTTGGGAACTTGGAGAAGATGGGATTTACAGCGCCCAAATAGAGCGGGATATCTGGCAGCTGTTCGTGGATGGTGAAATGATGACCAACGCTCGATGGCCAGACTCTCTGTGGTCGGACAAAACTATTTTCTTGAACAAATTCTGGGGAAAGTCTGCCAAGAGATCAAGGCGTGGAAAAATGATCGATAATGGCGAGCAGAACTTAGCTGGAAGTGGCTTAAACGCGACAGGAGCCATGGCTATTCTAAACATCGGTAGCTTCAATACTTTCACTGCTATCGTAAAAAGCCACACAACCGGACAGAACTTTTTCACTTACCACGACACGTTTGGTAAGATCGACTTCAAGCCGTTCCAGAATCAGTATTTCCTGGAAGATAAACTAGAATTTCTTAATAAAGCTGGTGAATGGTTCTACAACAAGAACACAAAAACTGTTTACGTGAAAACGCTGGATGGAAAAAGTCCTGAAGGAAGGATACGTGGAAAGGTAAACAAAGGCAATCACTCCTTTTCTTGAGCATTTTCTCATTGTTTTCTTGTAGAGGTGCGGTGGCCTCATGGTTAGTGCGCCCGACTCCGGATCGAGCGTCCCGGGTTCGGCTCCTAGTCGGGGACATTGTGTTGCGTTTTTGGGCAAGACACTTTACTCTCACTGTGCCTCTCTCCACCCAAGTGTGTAAACGGGTACCAACGAATTTAATGCTGGGGGGTAACTCTGCGATGGACTAGCATCCCATCCAGGGGAGAGTAGAAATACTCCTAGTCATGTTACAGAAAAAGAATATGCTCCGACCTGATAGGCTACTTGGCTCTTATGCAGAATTTACTTACCTACCTTAGCATTTTCCAGCCTTTTCAAGGCTTAATCCCCCTTTATTCAAACTGTATTTAGCATGAAAACTAATCTGGAAAAATCTTATGAAACCGTATATATACCCTCCAATGGCTCCAATTACCCCTTCTTTAAAGCGTCAATCCCACTGGCAACATAAAGGAAATTACTTGATTTTGGAGACACGATAATTTCAACAACTGTTTGATTGGTGAGTTTATATTGAAATTTTTCTTCTGTACTTTGAAGATGCAGCCGAAAACAAGTATTTCTTTTCCTTTTCCTCTTAATGCACTAGGGTAGCTGGTATTAGGCATCCGTCGAATATTACTGCACTCACCTGCACCGCAAATGGTAGGGTACATGAGCAGGTTGTAACGGCTTTCATGCATTTAGGCCCGACATTTGGCCCTGTCATTTGGTCCAAACTCGACAAATCTATTCGATCTTCTGAATCATTGCACACTTTTAAAAAGCGCATCAAATTGGTTGATTTCATTAGCCTG